TACATTGAAGTTAAAAGAATCCGATCCAGGGTTCCACTGGAGACCGAGTACCTTCACCTGCTTATCCTTCTCCATTTCGGCAAAAGCGATTACATCGGGCCGCTCACCATGAGATTCTGTCGGTAAAACAGTTGAGAGTAGCGCTGGAGAATTGCTATGCCACTTGCGTAATTCGAAACCAGCCGTCTTACAAATATCAATAAGCTCCTGCTGCAGCGCTAAAGCATTAGGGATCGTAGACGCTCCCGATGTGACGTCGTCAACGAAAACATCGTTTAACAAAACAGGAGAAGCAAGTTTGAAACGCTCGGCCTCATCACAAGCCAATTGTTGGACAGTTCTCAAAGCGAGATATGGGGAACAATTCACACCGAAGGTGACCGTGCGAAGACGATAGTCACGAACGGGTTCTTCGGGTGACTGTCGCCATAAAATACGTTGAAAATCCCTGTCTTCCTCTCGGACCAGGATGTTTCTGAACATTTGTTTAATATCAGCAGTGAATGCTATTGCGTGAACTCGGAATTTTAAAATAACATTACCTATGTCCAAGTGAAGCTTGGGACCAGTCAGTAAAGTGTCATTGAGTGAGTAGCCACTAGTAGTCTTACACCCGGCGTCGAAAACTACGCGAGTGCGAGTCGTCACGCTAGACTCCTTGACTACGCAGTGGTGTGGAATATAATAATGTTTCCCTAGAAGCGCCTCGCCCTCAACGGGTTCCAAATGATTCATGTCAATGTATTCCTGAAGACACGCGTGATAGTCAGCTTTGAGCTTCGGACTACGTTCGAGTCTATATTCGAGTTTACGAAACCGCGCTAATGCAATTTGTCGAGATTCTCCAAGAGAGGGAGCCTCCGATTTAAAGGGCAGGGCAACCACATATCGCCCAGTCTCATCGCGAGTATGCGTCTTTTGAAAAAAGGATTCGCATAATTCCTCATCAGGAGTGTAACTCCGTTTTTCAGGAAGGGACTCTAACTCCCAAAATCTCTGAAGGTTGTAATTGTCGAATGAACTAAAACATACTTTAATATTCGACGGAGAGTGTTCAACATCGAGCTTACCTAACAATAAATAACCGAAAATGCTATTTACCGCCATCGGAGTTCCAGGCGCGCCCGTAATAACGTCGCCTAAAAGAACACAGGGTAGCATATCCGCACCTAATAACATTTCAACTGGCTGCGGGGTATGGAAAGTAGGATCCGCTAAGTTAAGTGTTTGTATATGAGACCAGCCTTTATACGGTAACTGTACACTTGGCATTTGTGAAATTAATTTATCTAAAATTAAAACATTAATTGGTAATAAGGGTTGTTGTTTACCCTTAGGCGCAATATTACAAGAAACAAAACCCCTACAACGCGTCGCCTCAGTATCGCCGATTCCGAAAACTGCAATGTCTTGTTTACGTTTTATCATTCCCAACCGCTGCGCGCAACTATCAGTCATAAAACTAGCTTGACTGCCAGTATCTATAATACAGCGAACGGTTGAAAGTTTCGCCTCACCAACGTATACATCGATTAGCGCCGTAGACAATAGCACCGTAGTCGTACGAACTAACGGCGCATTGGAAGCGCAACAATTGTGAACAGCGTTATCAACGTTGGAAGCTAAAGGCGATGAGTCATGAGAGGCAGCGATGACCGGTGTGTCACACTGCACCGTAGGTGGAAGCGAGACAACATTATTTGCAGTTATTTTACTAATGAACGGCGACTGATTTAACTGGTTAGAAAAATGAATAAGACTATGATGTCGTTTGTGACACGTACGACAAACAAAACTTGAATTGCACTGATTAACATCATGTCCAAAATGCAAACAATTATAACAAATATTTTTATTTCGTACTAAAGCAAATCTATCTTGTGGGGATAAGTTTAAAAACTGCGTACATTTTGTCAACGTATGTTGAGCATTACAACATAAACAACTCTTAAAACCCTGTTCATTAGATCGATTATTGATTGACGGATTCGAAACTGATTTGATGTTAGCAGCTAACGAACGGAATGAACGATGCGCATGCGGCGCCTGCGTCGGTGACGGTTTGTCGTTAGGATTCGAACGGCTGCGCGGATTGGCAAAATTATTCGACTGCCCACAAGTGGAATTAATAATTTCGTCCGCCGATATTTCTCGCTGTAGGAACGAAATCAATGTGTTAACATCAGGAATGTCGGATGAATTCGTTAATGAACGTTCATAGTTTTTTCGAATGTGCATAGGTATTTTACGTAATAAAATACTAAGTAACAAAAAACTCCAATCTTTCACGGGAAAGTGCATAATTTCCAATGCCTTGATATTTTCTTGGTAAACGTTTAATAAATTACGTATACTATTTGTTGATTTATCAGTGCACGTTTCAATATCGAGAATTTTGTCGAGATGCTTAGTGGCAATAACCCTTCTATTCTCATACCGCGATATCAATATTTCCAAGGCTACTGAATAGTTCTCATCCGTGATAGGAATCGACTTTATTAAATTGTGCGGTTCCTTATGTACCGTGAGTAACAAATATCTAAATTTTTCCGCATCTGTATAGGCATTGTTCAGGTGGACTAAAGAACGAAATAAATCAAAATATGATGGCCAATCGGTAGGGTCACCATAGAAATTAGGCAAAGGCAAGGTAGGTAAATTTTTGCTATGAACTTGTGGTTGAATTAACGGTGATAATAACGGACGACTCATGCGTCGCTGCTCCTCATCCATCATCTTTAAATTATTTAAATGCGTAATAATGGCGTAGTAAAGATCGTTAAAATCGTTACGAATCTTAATCTGTTCCTCCTTGTTAAATGTTTTTAATTTCATGTAGGTTTTTTCAATTTTGGACTGTATTTTATTAAATTTACGTTGATGAGAATTTAAATCTGTAGTTCGCGAGCGAAATTGTTGAACATCTGTCGCTGCGAACTGGAGAGTGCGTTTTAAATCATCAAGGATGAGTTCCGTTTCGAACAAATCTTGTTCACACGGCGATTCTTCGACAGACATTTTGCGTAACAAAGATGGCTGATTCGAATTTGTCGTATTTGAAAATAAGTTGTAGAAAGTACGTAATACTGTAAAACAACACAATTGGAAGATATCAATCCGGTTCGAACGGATCAAAGAAATTTATGTATGATAAAAGCCGGGGTTCGGCGACTTACCGCAAACGCTCCTTACACCGCCACGGGTACCTAGGGCTAGGCTTCAGAACGGGGTTCGTCAACGCTCTTGGGAAACTATTGCCGGCAATGTATCGCACATAGGAGTCCACAGGTCAGAAGGTTCACGATATCTTCCAGAGAAAATGGGTACTCTCACTTGATGTAACGGAAATTCGTTTAGAGCTGTTGATAGCTGCTTACACGTCGGGGACTCGAAGTGAACTACTCGCACATTGGTGCCGGCGTCGGCCGTAAAGTCGTACCAACACACAAGGCACAGTGGTAGGCTCAGAACGAAAATACGGTTTGTCACCTACCCCATACATAAATAAAAAAAAAGAAAAAAATACAATCTTCCAATATGTGTTGCTTTATTAAAAAATCTGTTACGCTACGGAACAAAGATAGATATGTCATCAGCAAATAATATTGGATATGTTAAATCATTGTCTAAAATTTTTGGGAGGTCATTAATATAGATAATAAATAATAAACAGCCTAACACACTGCCTTGAGGAATTGAGCATGTGAGATTTCTTACAGCAGATTTCACTTTTTCTATAGTATTCTTCTGTTCGTCGAAATGTTCGATTTGTACAATTTGTTTTCGGTTACTCAGATATGACTTGAACCATGAATAAGCTGGGCCCCGAATTCCGCAGCCATAAAGTTTTTTTAACAAAATACTGTACGAAACTTTGTCGTATGCTTTTTTCATATCTAATAAAAGACCTATCGCCAGTTTTTTATCGTTTATTTGTTGAAGTGCCATTTGGATATATTTGAATACTGCTAATGTAGTTGATCTATTTTTACGAAATCCGTTCTGGCTTTCATCAAGAATGTTGTATTTTTCTAGAAATTTATATAATTGTATACTCATCGCCTTTTCAAATATTTTGGAAAACGTTGGAAGGAGTGATATTGGTCTGTAGTTACTCGGAGTGCCTTTGTCATCTTTTTTATGTACAGGCTTAACCAATGATATTTTCATTTTATCTGGGAAAATAGCCTCTTTAAAGCTCTGATTTATCAAATTAGTTAAGGGCATTGAAAATTCATCAGCACATTGTTTAAGCAAAATTGGTGGTATATCATCTATGCCAAAACTGTGTTTATTTTTCAAATTTTTAATGATATTTATAGTGTCTTTTTGCTCTATTGGGCGTAAGAACATTGTTTGTAATGCGGGATTTATTACAGAACGTCCTGGTTTACTATAATCATTGTCATCGTTATTTTTTCCTATTGAAACAAAATAATCATTAAATGTGTTGGATATCGTATGGGGACATTTTATAATTCTGTCATTTATTTTTAACTCATTAAATCAATAATAATAATAATAGTTTAAATCTAAAGAAAAGTTTACTAGAAAAAAATCCACGCGGACCAGGCAGCGGACGGGACTCGAACCCGCACCCTTCGCAATCTGGGCGAATGCACTGACCATTCATCATCATCATCATCAGTCTATTAATGTCCCCACTGCTGGGGCACAGGCCTTCCCTATGGATGGAATAGGGAGATTGGGCCATGACCCACCACGCGGGCCCAGTGCGGATTGGCGGGTGCTAACGACCGCAGATGCAGCCGGGGCCAACGGCTTAACGTACCTTCCGAAACACGGAGGAACTCGAGATAGTAAATTTTTGGTCACCCATCCAATGACCGACCACTGCGAAAGTTGCTTAACTTCAACGATCGCAGCCGAACGCCCTAACCACTTGCGCCATCGAGCTCGAGCTCGAGCTTATGCATACCATATTTTTTTTTCCTAGTAAACTTTTCTTTAGATTTAAATATGGTTACTTTTATTTCCAGGTAACAATCCACACTCGAGGCATAACCTTTAGTCGCTGGCGGCGTCCACTTGTAAATATTGTTTTATCGCATTAATTGTTATGTTAATAACGCAATCATGAGTATTATACAATGTAGCTTGCCTTATATTATTGTAATGGCGATGTGACGGCATTAGGTAGGATTTTGGTCGCTCAGTAAATTTAGTAAAAATTGCGCCATCAATATCAGAAAAAACGTAGATGAAAACTTTCGAAGAAAAGGAATAGATGTTTCTAAGGCAACAATCTTCACGGAGAAACGAAATTTCATTCTGCAATACCTAAAAAAAAACAGAGCACTCTTTTTTTAATTTGATTAAAAATAATTTACTAAATGCTATCTGAATCACGAAAAATAATATGTGCTCCGTTATAAAATAATTGTCTTCGACAGCAATCTATAGATATAAATAAAATTTGAGTCTCTGTTTGTAATATTGAAATAACCGCTTTTTACTACATGCATATATGAATACTAGCTGTCCCAGCGAACTTCGTACCGCCATAAAAAAATAGGGGTTGGTGGTAGAAGGGTGAAAATTTAGGGTTGTATGTATTTTTGTATGATGTATCATAAAAAAATTAAAGGTGGATTACCCTTAACATTTAGGGGGATGAAAAATAGATGTTGTCCGATTCTCAGACCTACCCAATATGCACACAAAATTTCATGAGAATCGGGAAAGCCGTTTCGGAGGAGTTTAACCACAAACACCGCGACACGAGAATTTTATATATTAGATATATACGGCACATACACCATAATAACATTTTTTTTTACAATTTTTGTCTGTCTGTCTGTTTGTTCCGGCTAATCTCTGAAAAGGCTGGACCGATTTTGATGGGACTTTTATTGGCAGGTAACCGGTGTTATAAGGAGCAACTTAGGCTACTTTTATTTTAGAAAAAAAAGATAAAACGGACGAAGTCGCGGGCGGCCGCTAGTTGAAAATAAATCTTAATACGAGAAAAACTAAATTTGAATAATAAAAGTTGTGTTTTTATAATAACATATAATAAAGTCATCTTCCGTCTTTGTCGTAGCAAAAACCAATATGTCGAGTGTGACCTGTTCTAATTGTCCTAAAGGCTAGGTCATGTCCACGCCTTTAGATTTAAATTAATTAAGGGTGTATTCCGAAATATACATCAGTATACTGGCCAGTGGTAATGACGTCACGAATCTGACGCCATATTGTACTGGTATGCTACCATATTTTTACCGGGAAAACAAATATGACGTATGGCCAGCACTGGCCAGTATACTGGCATATATTACGGAATACACCCTTAATGGTTTCTTGGGTTATTTCCGGAAGTAGGTATACTTGAGTTACATTTCGGAAAATAATTTGAAAGTTTTCATCTCTGTTCATATTGTAAATAGCATCATCATATATCCATTACATTAGCAATTCCTAAATACTGTCTTTGAAATATATAAACATTTTTTTATGATTTCACAAACCTTAGAGATTTGGTCAGAAACAGTCCCAATGACATTAATTTATTAGCATTCATAAAATTATAACTTCATACTTATACTTTGATTATTTTTAATACTTGCAATAATATATTATGTATGATTATTATTTTATCTATAGAATAGAATATGAATTCATGACATACACTTACCCCTTTATTAATAAACAAGGAATAATCTTAAGAATAGGCGTAACTATTGGCGTGTATATATAGGCGTGTTTTGTTGATGTCACTCAAATGCCATTTTGTCATTCAACGATCAGAGACAAAACATGGTTTAACTAATTCAAGCTTATTCTACGATTATTAATTAGGGGGTTAGTGTTTTTTTATTAAAAATAATGTAATTGATTTATTGAACTATATATATCTCGAATTAGAACTACTTATTACAATATCCCTTGTAGTACAAAATGTATATGTTACTTAAAAAATAATGATATCCATAATATGATGTCCATATTTTCTATGAAATGAAAGTGTCCCAAAAAGGCAATTGCTTATTCGAATTTGAAGTTCACATCCGCCACTACGCTCTGATACCTTTTTGTCCACTTTTACATTTTACATGAATAGGGTATTTGACAAGTTTTAGAAATGGAACTCACGTTATGGACTATTGTTTATGGAGTCCGTAAAAAGTGGATATTTATCATTCTGTTGTGTATTTCAGTAAAAATAACCAAATCAAAAACTAAATTTTCAAGTTGCCGCGAAAACGTTTCTCTGGACAAAATGGCGTCTTACTAGTTTGTGACGTCACACGACTGTTATTAAAACGTCAAACGATACAATGTAATGCCACTTTAACCGGAAGTTTACTTGCGTGTGACGTCATTTTAGGCTCCGCCAATTCCAAGCGTTTTGGGTCACGTGACTAGTTTAGAAAACTATTATATTTATTGTGGGTTTTTAGTAAAATTATGAATATTTTTTTTTTGTAAAAATAGTGAAAACCCCTGCCAATATTCATTATTAACACAGATGCTAACAATTGGCTCTTTATTTTTAATACTGTCAAATACCCTATTCTGGTTATAAGAAATGCCAAGTGTAAAAGCTTTAACATTAAAAGTATAATATACTAGCAAACCAGTGAACCAAATGTTCACCAAAACCTGATTTCTCGAAAGCCGGAAGTGCTACGTTACTCAAATCCGGTTTGTAGTCTTATCAGACTATTCTTAACTTATAACTTAAATATTCTCTTTATCTATCTCTTACGGTTTGGCCGCTGAAACGACACCACAGACAGACGGACGGACTTGTCTAATAGATAAGAGATTATAAATAACTCTCTGCACCTTAACTAGAATGCAAGTCATCTAATTTTACTCTGACACAAATTCACAATAGATGTCTTAGATTGACTATAAAATATTTGGTAGAAAAGATACTGTTATGTTATAAGAACACTGCAGTGTTGCCAACTTTTACTTATATTTCATGTTGTCGTTAGTAAAATATTTGAAATTTAGGTATTAATTTTACGTATTTGATATCTCTTGTTTGTTTGGAATAAAGTTAAGTAACGTTATATCAATAGATCATAATATATGAAATTAGCTAAGTAAAGATCTAATAGTGTGATTCTAATATGTTGTCTTTATTTCTTTCTGATATTATAAAGATAAATATCCTCACAAGATGTCTTTTTGACACGTTTAACTAGTAAAAAGATTTGACTAGATTTTATAGATGTCATATTGGAATCTACACCAATTTTTATTTGGATCTCGGTATACTGACTTGATCAAACCGTTGAATGCATATAATTTACTTACATTATAAGGATGTAAAACAACTGTTAAATGGAGTTTAATAGACTATTTGTTCCTTTGGCGGATTTTGTTTAATTTTGGAGTTGTTTTTATTTTTAACATCAAAGGTCAGTAGAGTCGAATTTCTAGCAATATTAACCTTAAAGAGGTTTAGGACAAAATCTGAAATATGTTAGCTCAATGTTTGTTTCTATGGGCTGTATGGGGTATATTAATTCAGTTTCATCTTAAATTTTCGACTCCAAAACCAGACAAAAATCCATGTAAGACTGACCAAAGTAGTGGGTTAGATCTGGTTTGCATAACAGTTCCAGTTTAAAACTACCGATCCGGTTTCAACTGAATGATATAACTAAATATCAGAGGCAAAGAGAAGCATGCTCATTTGTTAATCAAGATTTAAATTTTTGTGTGACGAAACACAAATCTTAGAATAATGTTTTAACGTTAAGACTGTTATAGAATTTTGAGTAAGTTAGAAAATAAAAATTTTACACACAGTAAAGTTGGATTTTATTTTTCTTCGTTCCTTGTAATTTTGAAATTATACTTCTTTAGGCGCGTTATAAAAAAATTATGAGAGTGAAATTTTAAGATGCGCGCGCATCTGTAACAAAAAATTAACACCATGAAGCTGCCATTACCGCGTCGCCCGCCGCACCGTACGCATGCGAGGCCGCTCGCGGTCCTAGCGCGGGAAACACGTACAACAAACATCGGGAAAAGTTAAGAGTTTTGAATTTAGAACAGAGACTGTTTTCATATCTATATATATAAAAATGAAACCCGTTTTCCGTTGTCACGACATAACATGAAAACGGCTTGACCGATTTGGCTGTTTTTTTTTTGTAGTTTTCTAATACTCTGTACAAGGTTCTTACGGAAAAAAATATAAAGAAAATCCCAAGGGGATAAAATAAGGAATGAAAGTTTGTATGAAACTTTATCAATTTTAAACCGATCGGGCTGAGACTTTGCATGCAGGTATAAGAAGAATCATAGATGAATGTCATTGTGTATAATACAAGCCTGAGAACAAAAACTGTAGTCTACACTTCAGCTCTACACCGAAGCGAAGCGAGGGCGGGCCGCTAGTTTATAATATTTATCCACATGTTTCTAGTTTGTATATTCGGAATACGTGTTTGAGTTTCATACAAGTGCAAATCACATATGTTCTAATAAATTATATTCAGTAGCGATTTTAATTGAATATTTTGATTATTTATTTATTTTTTCAAATTAAAACTAAACTTTATTGACTGTGTCCTTTTCCAGACTTTTTATTAATTTATTGTAATTAATTATTTGCATGCAATTAAAAACTAATTTTAAACGATGCCAAAGAAGGATAACTTCTCACGCGCCTACATAAGTACACGCACCCATTTTTTTTATTTAACTAAGTACGTACTTGTATTTTTTATTAGTCAATTAAGAATAAAATTACATTAAATTGCTCAATGTTTGCAGTATTTAAGTTAATTCGTCTGTTTTTATGAATATTTTTTTTTTACTGCCAGCACACTTTCTTCGGTGACAGCCGTCTTAGGACGACCATCCTTCCATCCCCCAAACTGAGACGACCGCGTTTGAACTCGCTACACCAGCGGTAGATGGTTGCTTTTGAAGGTCCTTCATCCATAAAAGCAGTTTGAAATCGATCAAATGACTCATCAGGTTTTGGACTTGAAATCCATTGGAAATCGATCAAATGACTCATCAGGTTTTGGACTTGAAATCCATTGGGTTCTACCCGCACAGGTTCGAATCCTGTCCGCAGCGATTATTTTTTATTGTTTATTCGTTTTTAATATGGTTGATTATGCCTACCTCAAAGTAAGTTTTTTCTTTATTAAGCCACATTTAAAATCATAAAAAATCATAGCACGAAAATGTTCTCGATGCAGATCAATTTTTTAATGAAACAAGAAACATTATTGACTCTCGAAAAAATGCGGAGGGAAATTTGAAAATCGAACGGTGGTATGTTCACTTTTAAATAATCCAAATTTTCAAAATAATTACAAGTGACCAGTGTCTTATACATAAAACTTTTTTCGCAAAACTTGAGTGGCCTGGTATTTAAAAGAAAGCTTAAAATGTGGCTAATAAAAATGTTTTTACTTAGAGAATATTTAGAAACGAAAATTGACTTAGAATAGAATAAATAAAATGACTTATGTAGCGATAAATTTTACAATTAAATTAAGTTTGACATTCACGTGTCGTTAGCAAAATAGACGTAGTTAATGTATCTACACTGTTTTAGTTTGTAGTTGTGTTTAAATTTAGAGAAAACATCATCATCAGGTGTATGAATAAAAAACAAAATTATCTAAACAATATTCTTTATTGCTAAATACCACTGGATCCTTACATAATTCGATTTCATTGTACATTATCTGGATAACATTCCACATTCGTTGAAAAATCAACATCAAACAAGACAGGAATCAATCTCTCGAGTGTTCCAGCCAATCGGTAGAAGGTGTTAAAGCCAGTGAAGAAAAAATTGCGTGTTTCTACGGATTAACTCCAAACACTCGTTTTAGAATGTCGGCGAATCATGTACACACTATTGTTATTACGTTAAAAGTTGAAACGGCAGTATGCAATAAATATAGTAACCGCTCACTTGGGAATTAAAATTTATTTCCTTCGTAATACACATAAAAGCTCTTAATTTACATCAAAGCCTTTGGGATCACGTAAACTAATAACCTTTTACATATTTAATTGAGTAATATTCTCAGTTTATAAGTAAATAATATCGAATGAGTTTTGATGAAAATACAATTGTTTCGAACCCAAGCGAGCTTTTCGCTGATTTGTTTATTTTCTTAATCCAACGCAGCGGCACCGGAGATGATTTCGATCAGCTCTCTAGTAATCACGGCCTGTCGAGTTCTATTGAATGTCAATGTAAGTTTGTCTATCATTTCCCCGGCGTTCTTGGAAGCGTTGTCCATAGCAGTCATTCTAGAAGATTGTTCGGAGCAAGCGCCTTCTTTTAAAGCGTAGAACAGCATAGAGGCGAGAGAGAACTCCATGTATGATTGGATCACGTCTGCGTCCAAGGAATCGTAGATCGTGAGCTTGGGAGCGTTCTGTATTAGGAATAAATGTGATCTTTAGCTTATTATATTGAAAAGAAGTTGTATGCAGAGAAAACGGAAAATATATAAATGTTTAATGAAATTTCCTCTTTGTTTAGAATTAATACAATGAGATGTTTGGAATCAGTTTAGCTTACATCTTTTAATTTTGTAACAAACGACAGCACAATTATAATAAATTTTGTACTTTTTTTGACAAAAATATAGTAAGGCATGAATTATTTATTCTTAAAATATTTTTCTTAGTTTTTTTTTTTACTTTTTGTATGTTACAGTTATATAAGGATCATAAATTATAATTAGAAACCAAAATGTGTAAGATATGAAGTAGATAAATCCCACCTAAATGACTGATCCGATTATGATGAATTTCGATATAGAGATGCATTGTATGCCCATTAATCCATTTAGAGGATTGGTGGATGCTAACGACTGCAGGTGCAACCGGGACCAATAGCGTTACGTGCCTTCCGAAGCAGCTCGAAATAACAAGTTTTCGGTCACCCATCCTACGAGTGCCATTGTAAAATTTGCTTAACTTTCACGATCGCAGACCGAATTTGCTATTTTTTTAATATTTGTTATTTTTTTAGCATGTAACTGCTTAAAGTTATAATCTAGAGAAAATTTTCTCTACATAGCATATAATATCCAGCAGTTGCATGCTTAAAAAATAACAAATATAACTATAATTGCTATTTGTTCTTTCAAATGTTTAATACTTGTAAAGGTATTCATTCGACATTGTGGCTTACCTACAATGCGAAGAGATGGCGCTGCCTTGCAGCTTAAGAATGACTAGAGAAAATTCGACACGGCCGTCAGGGTCGCGGTAACACAATGGTCAGTGCATTCGCCCGGATAGCGCCTTCGCTTCCCTTGTGCTGGTTCAAAAGTTCAAATCCCGTCTGCTGCCTGGTCCGCGTGGAATTTTTTCTAGTAAAATTTTCTCTAGATTTTAAATATAAAGGTTATTACCTCAACAGCCTTCTGGCTGAACAATGGCAGATCCGATTGCTGATAAGAGACGACAGACTTGAATTTGTTGTAGACAATCTTGCCGGAAGCGAATTCGTAGCCGGAAGTCAAGATGGCGCCCGCGATCTTGCACGCATCCTGGAATGTGGGCGGTAAGCGCCCGATCTGGGGAGGAACGATTGTTTTGTAAGCAAACACTAAATATAATTATAAATGCAAAACTAAGTAAATTATAAAAATTTATAGGTAATGTGGCTGGTACAGACTGGATCACCAATGCCAAAGATAGAAAAAAATTGGAGTAAAATGGAGGAGGCCTTTACACGCTGAGGGGTCCTTATAAAATAGAAAAATCTGTATTGACATTTTTTTTTAATTCATAATTGACATGTTTGTCATTAAATTAATTGACCTGATATTTAAATTAAATTGAAATTTAAAGGAATTAAAAGGCTATATTAATAATAGATAATTAACACAAAGTTAAAATGTGAATAAAGCCGGATCTAAGGGAGAAACAATTGTTTGTTAGCAAACCCCAAAATAAGAAAGTTAAATTAATTATCTCAGTGATCATATGTAACAAGGGTTGCAAATTATAAAGATAATTATTTTCAGGGATAATTAATTGTGATAATTATCCAGAATTCAGTTAAAAAAATTATGCATATCAATGAAAGTGTTTTTGAAGTTATACTTCTTTAGGCGCGTTATGAAAAAATGATGAGAGTGAAATTTTAAGATGCGCGCGCATCACTGTAACACAAAATTTTAACTAATTAATTAAGTAATTGTGTTTACCGCACATTAAGAAAATCTACCAACAAAATAGAAATAGAATCTCTATTTAGTGGGTGCTAACGACTGCATTGTGAAGGCCTATCAAAAGTATTTATTAATCTGGAACAACGGAACCAAAGCGCGATTCAGGAGACTACAGCGCCATCTCTTGACCATTGGTGTAGTAGAACCAAAAACCACATCTTTATTTTTTGTAATAAAGTAACAGTTATAGGTATTCATATTTATAATATTTATCCACATGTTTCTAGTTTGTATATTCGGAATACGTGTTTGAGTTTCATACAAGTGCAAATCACATATGTTCTAATAAATTATATTCAGTAGCGATTTTAATTGAATATTTTGATTATTTATTTATTTTTTCAAATTAAAACTGAACTTTATTGACTGTGTCCTTTTCCAGACTTTTAGTTAATATATTGTAATTAATTATTTGCATGCAATTAAAAACTAATTTTAAACGATGCCAAAGAAGGATAACTTCTCACGCGCCTACATAAGTACACGCACCCATTTTTTTTTTATTATTATTTTATTTTGTATAAAGGTACTATAGTAATAATTTTATTTGAAACAAGTGTAATTTACATAAAATCATGAAATGTTAAATCTGCTATAGTTTTACAAAACTGTGATGCAGAATTAACGCCCATTCCCGTTTAATATGGATACAGTATAAAGTATAACTATATTCATCTATATATATAAAACTCAAAGGTGACTGACTGACTGACTGACATAGTGATCTATCAACGCACAGCCCAAACCACTGGACGGATCGGGCTGAAATTTGGCATACAGGTAGATGTTATGACGTAGGCATCCGCTAAGAAAGGATATTGATCAATTCTACCCCCAAGGGGATAAAATAGGGAATGAAAGTTTGTATGAAACTTTGTCAATTTTAAACCGATCGGGCTGAGACTTTGCATGCAGGTATAAGAAGAATTATAGATGAATGTCATTGGGTATAATACAAGTCTGAGAACAAAAACTGTAGTCTACACTTCAACTCTACACCGAAGCGAAGCGAGGGCGGGCCGCTAGTTTATTGTAAAATTATATTTAGTATTGGACATCTATGTAATCAATGTGTGTGTTTTCTTAATAATATTATTACTCTTTCTGCTTGACTTTTGCCTTGTAGAATTTATCTTTATCCCAAATTTTTATCAATGATAATTATCAATACATGATTATCCAGTGCAACGCTAGCACTAACTATAAATGATTTGAACAATTCATCTCCAGAAGGCATATGTAGGAGCAGTTACTAGGACCCTAATGACTGTCAATATGTCAATTAGTCACGGGATAATGTCAGGAGACAATAAAATTATTAAACTACGTCAATATGATGTGAATGCCTTTATTGCACTGTCATATAATATAAAATATTGTTCTTAAAACAATTACTGGGTCAACTGTGTCAGCAGGTTAGAGTGCATCGACTCGGAATGCAAACTTAATAAAACATAATTAAAATGGCTTGTACAGCATAAATGACAATATGATATCAACTTACCTCTTGGCACACGCTGATAATGTGCTTGCTATACAATCGCTGCAGAATACCGCGCGACTTGTCTCCAACGCAGATCACCTTAATGTTCTCTGCTCCGGGCTCGGCCAGACGGGTACGGATCACTTTCGATACACCAGTGTGGACTGCACCGCAGAGACCTGGGAAAAGTATGTTTATTTAATGCCTGTTATATGGCTCATATTTAAATGATAATAAAAAAAACATTTAATCACAAAAAAATACAATTTTAGTAACCTAATCTAAAGACTACCAATTGTATTTGTAGGTGATCATTTACCATTTTGTTTAAATACTGTCCCTGTTTTAAATGCTAATGTTATAAAGACAAAAGGTTTGTTTTATATTATATAAATATTTATGTCTGTACCCAATCTCAAAAACTACTGGACCATTTTCAAAAATTCTTTCATTATTCTTCTTGAAGAATGCTTTTAGAATGCTTTATTATCCCTGAGTAAGGCTATATTTTATTGCGTTAAAATAAAATTCACCCCATTCAAAGCAGAAACTCAAGAAACTAAAATATCTGTTGTGTTGGTTATAAAAGGTCTCTGAAGCACAAAACAAAAATTCTACAGTTCATCACAAAACCGGTGAAAATCATTATAGTGATGGCAAGATGATAGGAAAATTGTAGGAAGGGGAAATATTTTATACTGCCAATGATGATGTCACGTCATTATGTTAATTTAAATTAAATTTTAGCATCTCAGAAAAGATTGACTACTCAAAGGCAGTTTTTGAATATATAAGATTGCCAGTGCAGTCTGTGACCTATTGAGGCCCTGGGCATATTAGGGTAATGGAATGACCCCTGTTTGATGATTTAAATGGAACTATGGACTTTGTATTTGATATGAGGGTGCCCCCTATCGATCGCGGGGCCTTGGGCACTTGCCCAAAGTGTCCACTGGGAAAGAGGGGCCTGAAGATTGCATTTCTATTTATTTACTTACCTCTGTCAGAGGTCATGGCCACATAAAGCTGTTTCGGATCATCTTCAGGAGGAGTCACCTGCAAATGTATGCCTTCAATTAACAAAGGAAAGCATATACTGTTAGTGTTAATTTTCAACTTACATTAATTATAAAGTATACACGCAAATTTTCATTTGTGTTGCTGCTATAAATAAATGAAATGTTGACCATTATGGACACATGAATACAGCTCACTATTTAAGTATATTTTCATTCACCAATGTCAGCTCCTAATTTCAGAAAACTTTATTATTAAAGCAATCACACTTAATTTAGCTTTATTCAACACTAATTCACACTTTAATTTTACATTATTATTTTAATAAGATTATTATAAATTAAGTTATTATGAGGAAAGCAGATACATGATGATTTTTAGTTCTTATTAGAATCAATTTTGAAACTAAACAGCTTAGAAACTTAAAAACAGCTTAATTTATTCATTTAATTGTGTTTCAGTATTGATGTTTTCTTTTTTGCTCTAATTTCAATTTTGTTTTTATATAGGTAATTTTTTTTGGAATGGTGCATTATTTTAAGCATGCTCTGGGAACTAGAAGCAGTGCTCTTAGTTGCTCTTTTATGAAATTCTCCTCATTAGCATATCGTATTTTAACCGTTACTGATTGTTCTTATAAATAAATATTGCATACCTCAGCTCTCTCATAGAACTGCACAGCACCCTCTCCGTATGGGCGAGCTGCCTTCAAGTCGCGCTCAGCACGAGTATATCTAATGGGGAAATAGTTATACTTATTAAAGAGACTCCATGTTATTATGTTCATCATGATTTCATTTTTCTTCAGAATGATCACTCACTTTAGTGTGCAGTTACTATTAAATTTGATATACAACTTAATGAGGAACTACTTTTAACATTAGTTTAACAAAAAAATTTTTTTTAGAATAAGGTAGGTAGATTATGGGCCACTTGCATCAAAGTTCCAAAAACAGAATTTAAAAGTTCATCATGCATGTCTAAGCCTCATTCTCTCTTTTAGAGTTTGAAAAATTGACAAAGATGAAATAGATGTGTTAAACAGGATTGTCTTAATTTAAATTAAGAATGTAGTTGCAAGAGACCATAAACAAATGAATAAATTGTACTTGTTAAAAGAGTTTATGGTTATGGGAGATATCTACAGTTAAGACTTGACAGCCTTGCTCTTAGATGGAAATTATACCTACATAATTATGTGTATAATTACAGTATTAACTCAAGGCTATAACTTACTTGGCAGCCGACACCATCTTCATGGACTGGGTAATCTTTTGGATGTTCTTTACAGACTTCAATCTGATTGAAATGGCTTTCAATGTAGCCATGTTACGGTTCTGTTGGAAGTTGATCACGGCGACCACCGGGGTGGTGACACCCGGTACGACACGACCCAGCATTTTCGCGGCTTCTGGAATAAAATCGTTTGTAAGAAATAGCTTTAGTACACCCAGAATCTTTGGTTATGTCCTCCAAATCCAAGTTATGTAAGAAGGTTGTCACTGCACCAGCCGTATCAGTAATTCACACTAACATAGAAAAAATGCTTTATTAATTTTTGGAATACATTTTTTTAATTTGCTAGATATACTTAGCTTGGAAAACTAACTTTTGTGGACTTATTTCTAGTAAAAATCACCAGCCGACGAAAAATGTCGCTGGCTGAAAACGTCTGATGTGGGATGCCAGAAAAAAAAACGTGAACGCATCTAAATTTTCTTCTTCCACATCGATCGATCTCCCTCCATCACCTTAAAATAATTTTGCATTTTGTTCTATGGATTTAAAAACGACATCGACTTTAATAACTGTATTAATATGGAAGCATAAGTTTAGGGTAAATCCTGCCAAAATGGTTCATTGTGGATTAATTTATTACAATGATAATAATCAATTTAATTTGAACGCATTTTTTCTTATTTTTCACTTTGGCAATATTAAAATCACCTAATGACGTTTCTCAATTCTCTGCAGGGTGACCATATGTGGCAGGATCCTGCCTTTTCGGCAGGTTTAGCCATTTATTTTACTCTGTGGCATATTTGTTTGACGTTTTAGAAATCTGGCAGTATTTGGCAGTTTATAGCAATTTAAGTTTTTTTTGAAGTTATACTTCTTTAGGCGCGTTATGAAAAAATGATGAGAGTGAAATTTTAAGATGCGCGCGCATCACTGTAACACAAAATTTTAACAGCATGAAGTTGGCTTTAGCGACTTTTGTGTTTACCGCACATAAAGAAAATCTACCAACAAAATAGAAATAGAATCTCTATTTAGTGGGTGCTAACGACTAGGGATATTCGATATACATCGATGCATCGTAAACATCGATGTTTGCAATGAAAAACATCGAATCAATCCGATGTTTTGAAAATTTTTCGATATACTCGATGCATCGATGTTTTAAAGAAACATCGAATTGGTAATAGAGTTTGACCACGTAGTGATAATATCCTCTTTGATTCGACCTCAGTAAAATAACTTAAGTTTGACCAGTAAAATTTTACTTATTACTATTATGAAAGCATCATTATTCCGAATTCTCTGATATGGACCCAATGTTGGCAGCATTGCGCAAGAGTCAGTGCAGTGACAATAAAAAATAACTACGAGTTTCTATGTTTATGAACATTTATTTTAAATACTTTTTCTTTCTTTCTTTCTTTAGTTTTGTGAACGAAACTAAGATTGAAGTATATTTCTAATATTTTTTTGACAGACCTAGCAAAAATTTTGCGGGTTATTTAGTGTTATTTTTCCACATAAGTAATTTAGTATATAGTTTGTAATAAATTTTCAGAAAAAGTACTCGATATTTAAAATACATCGATGTTTTCATCCGATACATCGAATGACATCGATGTATAGTTGCGATGTATCGAATCAAAAAATACATCGATGTTTTTTCAGAGTGGACACCCCTACTAACGACTGCATTGTGAAGGCCTATCAAAAGTATTTATGAATCTGGAACAACGGAACCAAAGCGTGATTCAGGAGACTACAGCGCCATCTCTTGACCATTGGTGTAGTAGAACCAAAAACCACATTTTATTTTTTGTAATAAAGTAACAGTTATAGGTATTCATATTTATCCACATGTTTCTAGTTTGTATATTCGGAATACGTGTTTGAGTTTCATACAAGTGCAAATCACATATGTTCTAATAAATTATATTCAGTAGCGATTTTAATTGAATATTTTGATTATTTATTTATTTTTTCAAATTAAAACTGAACTTTATTGACTGTGTCCTTTTCCAGACTTTTTATTAATTTATTGTAATTAATTATTTGCATGCAATTAAAAACTAATTTTAAACGATGCCAAAGAAGGATAACTTCTCACGCGCCTACATAAGTACACGCACCCATTTTTTTTATTTATTTAAATGAGTAGGGTGCGGATCGACAAAAGAAAAACAGTACGAAGGAATTTTAAAATTTCGAGGATTTCCCATAAAATCTCTAGTCGAATTTGTAGTTCATTCCATTGTAAACCATAAGTGTGGAACATAATGTTTATATTACCTACCTTTATTTTTATTTGTCAGTTGTTTATATGTAATTAGTCGGACTAGAAAAACTGTCGGAGACACAATTTTATTTTGTTTCTGATTTCGTGCGGTGTGTCGAATGGTTACCATAATATGAAACGTCAATATGAACAATTATATCGCGTAGTAGTATACAAAATTGTATAGTGGAATAACACTGAACAGTCCTGTGACAAAAACTAGGAACTTAGTATGCATAGTAGCGCCCTCCCGTTCTCCAGCGGGGCAAAAATTGGAACTACCTGTATTGAAGGCAGCGCCAACTTGTCAATGTCATAAAAAGGACAGATCAGCGTTGTCGATATATGGGCATTATTTCGGCATTTTGTGCCTATGGCAGGATTTGTCAGTTTTTTTGCCTAAGCGGGGCAGGATCTCTAATTTAAGTTTGGTCACACAGATTCTCTGAAAACGTTTCAGTTCTGAATCGTGTCCAATAGAAATTACAATAGGTAGTGAATTCTCTCTTCTTAGTCGTTCACTCTTGTCAGAGTGGTCGTGGTCATGTGCCGGTCAGAATATTGCGCCACCGCCTCCTTCGTGATGCGACGCCATGTTGCTCTGTGTTTTGCAGAGTGGGAGTTGTCGTTGATGCTGGATCGTGTGACGGATTTGATGAGATCCGTCCACCGTGTAGGAGAGCGTCCACGTGATCTTTTGCCCTCGACTTTGCCTTGCACCGCCAATCGTTCCATAGATTCCTCGTTACGGGTAATGTGCCCAAAGAACTTGAGGATACGTATTTGCACAGTCGACGATAACCTCTTTTTAATTTGGAGTTCTTTTAGAATCGAAACATTGGTTCGGTGCGCAGTCCACGGGATGCGAAGCATGCGTCTCCAGCACCACATTTCTAGAGCGTCAATCTTGCGACGGTCTCGCATCCTCAGCGTCCACGTCTCAGCTCCGTACAGAAAGATTGGAAAGACCAGGCATCTCATTAGTCGAACCTTTGTGTTTCTGGTTATTCTGCGGTCCTTCCAAATCTTGGTGAGTTTTTCCACTGCGGATCTAGTTATGGCGCAACGTCTCCGGATTTCGTCCTCGCAACCTCCAGCGTTGGTGATCGTGGATCCTAGATACACGTAGCTGTTAACCACCTCGCATCCCGCTATAACTTTGACATCTGGTTGGTTAATGTCAGCACGATCCACGATCATCATTTTCGTCTAGGTAGTGAATTAAATTATAATTATTAGCTATGAAATCATTGTACCATTTTAACATTTCATTATTTATTGAAGTTAAACTTCTTTAGGCGCGTTATGAAAAAATGATGAGAGTGAAATTTTAAGATGCGCGCGCATCACTGTAACACAAAATTTTAACAGCATGAAGTTGGTCGTTTTAGCGACCAACTTCATGCTGTTACTTTTGTGTTTACCGCACATTAAGAAAATCTACCAACAAAATAGAAATAGAATCTCTATTTAGTGGGTGCTAACGACTGCATTGTGAAGGCCTATCAAAAGTATTTATTAATCTGGAACAACGGAACCAAAGCGCGATTCAGGAGACTACAGCGCCATCTCTTGACCATTGGTGTAGTAGAACCAAAAACCACATCTTTATTTTTTGTCATAAAGTAACAAAAAGTATTTATTAATCTGGAACAACGGAACCAAAACGCGATTCAGGAGACTACAGCGCCATCTCTTGACCATTGGTGTAGTAGAACCAAAAACACATCTTTATTTTTTGTAATAAAGTAACAGTTATAGGTATTCATGTTTATAATATTTATCCACATGTTTCTAGTTTGTATATTCGGAATACGTGTTTGAATTTCATACAAGTGCAAATCACATATGTTCTAATAAATTATATACAGTAGCGATTTTAATTGAATATTTTGATTATTTATTTATTTTTTCAAATTAAAACTGAACTTTATTGACTGTGTCCTTTTCCAGACTTTTTATTAATTTATTGTAATTAATTATTTGCATGCAATTAAAAACTAATTTTAAACGATGCCAAAGAAGGATAACTTCTCACGCGCCTACATAAGTACACGCACCCATTTTTTTATTTTTCATGTACCTTTAGTATTTGAAGTGTATACGGCGAAGCATAAATTATTTTAGTTATTTTATTAAAAACTGTCAACGTCACATGGGTGGTAAGAAACGTTTATAACCCAACTAAGTTGCAATGTCACTCGTTTCTAATAAAAAAGATTAGTCAAGTGATATTTTTGAAATAGACTGAATTACAGGATAAGTTTTTGGTGTCATTGTTTTCATTTGTTTTTACTAACTTAATTTTAATAACTCGGTGTTAATAGTCATGCCAACCCCAGACATAAACACCATGAATAATCCCGAAGATATTCGAGAACAACCAACAAGGGAAATAAGTCAAACAGACCACCTCAACAAGAAATTGTTAACATCTCTGTTTAACCGGATGAACGAAGGTGATTCACAGCTAAACAAAATGCTTGAACCAGATAATACGGATGAAAATGATGATGATTGGAATTAAGCGATGCGTTTACCATTGTATTTGTTTATGTTTTATAATACATGACATGTGATATGAAATGAAGTATGATTTATTTGTTTACAACAAAACTGTGTGTCTTTTTGTTACTATTAACTTGAAACATTTCTGTAAATTAATTTAACTCAAAGATTTAAAATTCATTTCATGAAAAGTTTATTATGGTTGTCTTTAAAATTGATACAAATAAAGGCAAGTTTACAGTTTTATAAAGATGTGGTTTATCTATGCTATCATAGTTTGCAAAAGTTACTATATTATTATGTCATCATAAAATAATCACCTAGTTATTACCAATGCCATTGGGTTTCAGTTGTTTGGGGTGCAAGCAATAAGCAATTTCCACCACATTAATAAATACCTAATGTCGTCAATAAGTATCTGAAAGTTTTAGAAACCCTTATCCAATCCAAAAAACTTACTAAATGTAGGTAGTATTCCCTCCTTTGCATATCATTAAAAGTTAAAGTAGTCTTAATATTGTCACATAACTGGTCCCAAAGATATATAAAGGTATTGATAGTGTGGATGACATGGAATATTATAAACGATGAAACTGGAAAATCCAAAACTCGCAATAATAATTATAACTTAAATATTGATAATAAAAAGGGTACTTCAGATATTGCAGTTGCTACAGCTTTCGAAAATTTCTTTAATGATATTCCAGTTTCAACTACTAAATCTTTGAACTCTTCCCCTTATTGCTGCCGAATCAATCTTAAGAGAAAATGTGAAACCTTGTACTAGTCATTTTCATTTTAAACATGTTGACTTTAAAGATGTAATTAAAATATTTTACCAATTAAATAAAATAAAATATACTTCACTATTAAAGTTCACTGTAAACAATTTTGTTTTACAAGGGGTAGTTCAACAACAGATTGAACAGTGTTGAACTTATACAACAAATTTTTTACACCTCAGGAACTCGCAGGACGCTTTAGGTGTGTTTTGCGACTTGTCCTAGGCTTTTGATTGCGTTTTTCATGAAACATTAATGAGGAAACTCCACCACTATGGATTTAGACATACTGATCTGGATCTTATTGCGTCATAACTGATGGATGGGATTCACAGGGTTGACATTAATGGCAATAAGTCTCCGGGTTCACTGGTTAAAATGGGTGTTCTGCAGGGCTCAATCCTTGGTCCATTCTTATTTTTAATTTATATTAATAATAACATTTATTTCAGATTATTCATCCATATTGGTTAGTAACAATTTTGCTTACAAATCTAGTGTTAGTAAATTGAATTCATAAAATAAAATTAGATTAAAAACAAAAACAAACATATTAATAATAAGCTTAATAACTAAGGAGTCACCGCCGCTGTATGCAGATGGATCCAGCGCATAAGCAGCGGTGAATCCCAGCGTTCGGACAGCGCGCGCACGATACTGTTTGGGCTGGCGCGCACGCGCGATAGCAACGACCCACTCCGCTTGCGCATTATTGCATAAAAGCAATCAGTACGCGCCTCTGCAAACATTGTGGACGCACTACAAAATCGCGCCAGCCCCAACAATATCCTGAACGCGTTATTATATTGCACGCGCAGTGCGTTGTACGCGCGCCGCGTAAAGTCAACCCACAGAGCACACGTGTAGAAGTTCTGACAGTAGGCTTTGAACAGCGTCATCTTTACCTGTGTACTACACCGTGCGAATCTGCGAGCTAACATATTGCAGCGCACACTCAACGCCCTGCGCTCCCTCTCGATGTCCGTGTCATCCACCATACCATCAGTCAACCAATGGCCCAAGTATTTGAATTTGTTGACTCTTTTTAACTCAACACCACAAAGAGTGACACTGGGTATATTGTGATAGGTTTTCGAACCAGCTTTAAACTCCATCAGCTCACTCTTTGTGGCATTATACCTAAGTCCGTGCGTCAACGCATAGGTTTCACACATTTTTAACAACCTTCGCATTGCACCAATCGACGGGCTCAGCAGCACCATGTCATCGGCATAACTCAGATTGTTAACACACACCCCGTCAATATAACATCCAATACCAGTTCTGCTAAGCCCCTCGATTAATTCGTTCATGTACAGGTTAAAGAGCTTAGGTGAGGTCAACCCCCCCTGCCTCACTCCGCACTCCAACCCATACATATCCGTATGCGCACCTGCCCATCTAACATGACTTGCCTTACTGTGTTAGAGATAAGCATGAGATAGTATTGATCGCGGATGATACATCACTTTTATTTAAACTCAAACATAAGGAAACAGTTATTGACGACGTGAACAGTTGTATCTCTAATACCCGCCATACACACTACGAGAAATCGTTACGATCAGACTGTACAGTTCGAACGGTACAGTTTATACGATTTCGTTTAGTATAGGAAACTGTGCAGTTTTATAACAAACACGCTACGATTTATCGGTACCGTTCGGACTGTACAGTCTAATCGTAACGATTTCTCGTAGTGTTGATGGCGGGTATAAGGTAGTCCACTGGCTCAATGTTAATAATTTATAACTAAATGAAGGAAAAACGAAATGTATGGAATTTGTATTATCTAATGTAAAACAGGTAAAAAAATGTGAATGTAAAGGATAGGAATATGGGCCTTGTAGACACCACAGTATTCTAAGGGATTACTTTAGATTCTAAGCTTTAATGGCGGGCCCACATATTGATAAATTTAAATTATCAAGTAGACTTACTGGCGTATTTTCATTACGGCGTATGCTGCACATATGCCGTAATGAAGATACGCCAGTTAACGGATGCAGATACGGTCAGATTAGTGTACTTTAGTTATTTCCATAGTGTAATGTCGTACGGAATTTTATTGTGGGGAAATGCCGCCGACATTCAAACTATTTTTGTACTGCAGAAGAGAGCTATTCGAATTTATAATCTTAGAGTTAAGGATTCCTTAAGAGATAGGTTTAAAGAATTTGGAATAATGACGGTCGCATCACAATACATACATATACGAAAATTTATTACTTGTAAGAAAAAATATTAATTTGTTTCTTAAAAACAGTGATGTTCACACACTTAATACAAGAAACAAAAATAAACTAACTTTACACCAAAATTTTACCATCGTGTGCCACACGAGTTCAATTTATTTCGGGGACACACGTGATGGCGTATTTACATTTGGTCGTTAACCCGTATACGGGTGCACGAAAGACATTACTTGAATTCGGGCACCCGAAGCAATATTAACACTGGAACACGGTGTCGGGTAAACAAAAGTAAATCCACTAGTCCAGGCAACGAAAAGGTATAGAGGGAAATGCTTAGAACACAATTTTTGACTTCGTAACTTTATTAGGACTAGTTAGGAGGTAAACATATCAAAAGTCCCCGCCCGTAGCCCCTAAGCCGGGGGGAAGGGGGGGATTGAAGGTCCCATTTTTAGGGTTTTCGCATATATCTCGGAAACTATGCATCCTAGCGACATGAGACTTTGACTTTTTTTCCATAATTACAGACTTTCAAGAGCGGATATCTCGAAAACTATGCAAGATATCAAAAAACTCGACTGAATAAAACTTGTAGCAAATTTAATCAGTCTCATGTCGCTAGGATGCAGTTTCCGAGATATATGCGAAAAACCTAAAAATGAGACCTACAATCCCCCCCTCCCCCCGGCTTAGGGGCTACGGGCGGGGACTTTTAATATGTTTAGCTCCTAACTAGTCCTAACAAAGTTACGAAGTCAAAAATTGTGTTCCAAGCATTTCCCTCTATACCTGTTTTTGAGCATTCGTTGCCTGGACTACACCTGAATACGGATGTACTCGACCCCTTTCATTTACCCGAATTCCATTAGCACTCGTATTCGGGCTAACGAACACGTGTATTCGCGCAATAATTTTGCCCTATCAGGTTTCTCGGTGTCCTCAGTTCTTCGGGGGAATTTTTAATGTGGTATTTTGAATCCGTCGTGTGTGTTACTTGATGCAGTTGTAAGCGATTTTTTTTTGACAAACAAAAAAATCCGCAGACAAAGCCTCAAGCCATTAAACTTAGGAGCAAGGAAAATCTTCAATAAAAAATAAAAAGGTCGACAGTAAACATCAAATAGAAATAAAACAAAGTTAAACAGTAACTTGAATAATATTTTTATTATGTACTACACGAGTTATAATGAGGAATGTTCTTATTTACACAGCTTTTACATTTCATAACTCCAATATAATTTCTCTTTAATTATTTGTCGAACATTTATTATTATACAGCATTACCAACGGAAAACTATTAAAACTACGCGCGCAAACGCGACTGAAATAATACTGGACATGTACACTAGATGTTTTATTTTTCTTAAATTTTGTCAAAGCAAACGTGTAAACTTTATTGATCCTAGCAAAGCTTTTAGTTAGCTTCCACGATTATTGGGGTTTCATACAACGCAAATCTATTCAATGGCATCTTATTTATAAATAACATACATAAATAGGACACAGTTCTCCTAAATCAACAACCTGCATCGTAGATTTAACACAAATGAAAAAAATCAAACGTCAAATATCAAAAATGTAGATTAAATAAACCATCATCAACAAAAGAAAAATGTCTGTACATAGTAAATTATGTTGTAGGGAATAATAATATAATAACAACATAAACAAATACATTGTGGTGTGATTCTTTTTACAAGGCTGTATGGAGGGGATAAAATAGTATAATTTATGTGAATAAATTTCAATAGATATGTGACAAACAACTTGTATTGTTCAACGAAATATTTGTAGCTATTTTTTTTTGTGGCTGAACAGCGAGTGTTTCGGCCTTAGCGGCAACTAAGCGCATTCTGGTAACATTACCTGTAATAAAAAAATACACGAAAAAATTCAACAAAATTATATTTAAAAAAAATCGGCCAAGTGCCCATAGAGGTATAAGAATAGAGTGGGGAAGGCGGCTCTAAGAGTGTCCGTCTTGTAGAAAGAGAAAGAAGATGAGAGACCGCTTACTATCTCTCTGTGACGCATGGCATCCAATGGCATCACATCGAAATAGTAAGATGCTTACGGTTGCCAGTGCGCATGCGCGATTAGAGAGAGCAAGCTAGCGGTCTCTCATCTCCTTTCTCTTTCTATTAGAGGGTCACTTCCACTTGTAGTGGTCTATATCTTCCCTACACTATTGTTATACCTCTATGGTCGTGGCACGCGCAGTGTAGGGTTCTGTAGTTGCTCGTCGTCATCATCATATATTTTTGAAAAAGTCTATATTGAAGTAATTACTTCGTCTTGTCACTTTTAATGTTTTCATCTCAGATTTTTTTATTAGGTCAGAAATTTTCTAATACCTAAGTTGTACGACTATTACTCCTAACCTCACTAATCTATTTTAACCGTTATAATTTTCCTTAAAAGTTCATGAAAAGCACTATTATCATGAATTTTTCCAGGTTTTTGAAGGCAATTCCCTTCAATTTTAGCTTTTAGAGGGGTGGGGATGCCATTCACGAACAAAAATTAGCACTTTAAAGTTCAGTATTTCGCAAACGGATTCCTAAATCGAAAAATAATCTTAGAAACCCTTAAGTAATTTTAAAGGACCTATTCAACGATCCTATTCCCCACTCGATGGGGTATTCATAATTTTGTTGTGTATTTCAGAAAAACATATTATGAATCAAAAATTTCAATTTTCTAGTTGCCTCGAAAACGTTTCTCTGGACATCAAGGCGTCCCACTGGTTTGTATGTAACATCACACGACTGTCATTAAAACGTCAAACGATACAATGATATGCCATTTTATCCGGAAGTTTATTAGCTTGTGACATCATTTTAGGCTCCGCCAATACCAGGCGTTTTCGGTCACGTGACAATAGATAAGAAAACTTTTTCGTGGGTTATTAGTAAGAATATGAATATTTTTTTCTGTTAAAATAGTAAAAACCCCTATCAATATTCATTCTAAACACAGATGCTAACAATTTAAAATTTAATAATCAAAATCATTTATTCAGTTTAGGCTGTTACAAGCACTCGTGAATGTTCGTATATCTACGGCGGGAGACCTTCTACTGAGAAGAACCGGCAAGAAACCCAGCAAGGGCTGTTTTTATCTCCCTGTTTTATTGTTTACAGAGTCGTCAACTTGAAAAATGACTTCAGAGATGATTCATGACCTTTCATTACATAATGTGAAATTATACATTAATTGTTCACCTGCATTTTGATTGCTGTGTCATACAGAATAAATACAAATAGTGTTATTTATATTACGTGTAACTAGACATTTACATTTTAAATATCAAGTAGTTAGGGCAGACTCATCTCCGCTGGCAGCACCCGTTCACGAGCATGACGCATGAACCAGCCATCGTTTCGCTTAACCATATTTTAGGGAACGTAACGACCCGCTACCCGTAATACCCTTTTCGTACATTATTGTTCGTGTCAAATACCCTATTTTTTTCCTGGAACACAACTAACCTACACATTAATGGCTTTACGACAGTCGCGTGGTTTAGCCTATTTTTTATCCCGGAACACAACTCACCTATATATTTAATGGCTTTACGATAGTCGCGTGATTTCCCCTTTTTTATCCTGGAACACAACTCACCTATACATTTAATGGCTTTACGCCAGTCGCGTGATTTAGCCTATTTTTTATCCTGAAAATAACTCACCTATACATTTAATGGCTTTACGATAGTCGCGTGATTTAGCCTTTTTTTTATTCTGGAACACAACTGTCCTATACATTTAATGGCTTTACGATAGTCTCGTGATTTACCCTAATTTTATCCTGGAACACAACTCACCTACACATTTAATGGCTTTGCGATAGTCGCGTAATTTAGCCTATTTTTTATCCTGGAACAAAACTCACCTATAATGCGATTCAAATAAGAATAGGAAAACCAATGACCTCCTACTGTCAAATGTCACTTGAAAAGTACGGTTTGCAAAAAAATCTCGGAAAACTTTTTTTAGCACTCAGCTGATTCTAGGATAAAAACCAATCATATTTAAACAAACGTTGATAATAATTAATATTAGTGGTTTTTATTTATTTATTGAGCTTTGGCTATGAATGGTTGATATAACCTAAATCGTCAACCAAATTTCACTTTATGTTGCGTTCAAAAACTCGATTTAAAACTTTCGTTTACATATAGGATGCATGTTCGTATGTGACCTGAATGATTATTCATAACTTCTCCGGCGGTAATGCAGAGACGAGCGAAATTGCAGAGCTAGATTGTGATTAATGTTTTTTTTTTCACACAGTCATAATAAAGAAATACTATTAAAAATCGGTTGTGTTCTTTCTAACCTTAGTAAATTAATTTTATTGAAAAATCTGATGTTTTGTCTCGCTTAATCTAAGTAAATAAGTTTTATTAAATAGCAACTTTTTTTGCTGACTCTACCTATTTGGTTTGAATTGACAGCTATGACGTCAAAATATGGCGCCCAGTCGGTCCTATTCTTAGTTGAATCGCATTATATGCATTTAATGGCTTTACGATCGTCGCGTGATTTAGCCTATTTTTTATCCTGGAACCACAACTCACCTATACATTTAGTGGCTTTACGATAGCCGCATGAATTAGGCCGCCTTCTCTATCATGTCAATGTTGATCTTGTAGAACACGTATGGGTAATATTCTGAGGAGCCGAAACCGAGGCCGGCCAACTCGGCGTTCTGGAAAGGAATTAATGATTTGATGATATTCTTGTTCTGTCAATGAGACACTAATTGAGAATATCTATACATATAATAAAATGGTAGGAAAGTTAAAACTGTACATTGTTTTTTTCATTTTTTAAAGAATATTTGGGGTGTGTGTGACCTACAATCGATACCGAAGCCAAAAATATTGTTTTTAGAATTTTTGTCTGTTTGTCTGTATGTATGTCCGGGATAAACTCAAAAAGTACTGCATGGGTTTACTTCAAATTTGGCACGAATATTATTAAGAAGTCGGGTCAACATATAGGCTACATATTATCACGCTATCACCTATGGGGAACGAGCAGTGAACCTTTATCTCTAACTAACTCCACGCGTACGAAGTCGCGGGCGGCCGCTAGTATTAGGTGGTTAACGCGTTCGGCTACGATTGTTGAAGTTAAGCAACTTTCGCAGTGGTCGGTCATTGGATGGGTGACCAAAAATCTTCTATCTCGAGTTCCTCCGTGCTTTGGGAGGCACGTTAAGCCGTTGGTCCCGGCTGCATCTGCAGTCGTTAGCACCCGCCAATCCGCACTTGTCCCGCGTGGTGGGTCACGGCCCAAACTCCCTATTCCACCTATAGGGAAGGCCTGTGCCCCAGCAGTGGGGACATTAATAGGCTGATGATGAATCTGTAGGAATGCCAAAGGGGAAGATCTTCCTCCGAGCTGGGTGATGGTAGCTAGGAGGCCACGACCCGACTGATGTTGGTCGGGCATTGTATATATGAAGAGTTAGCCTTTGAATTTCATTTGCGCGATGTAGGCTTCCACACTAACATTGATCGCAGTGCAGGCAACGCCATCTCTTGAGGATGGTGAGTAATGATTTCCTACATCTGGCGGCGACATCTATATGCCCCACAGATATACACTGTGGGGCATATGAATGAATGATTAAATGAATGATTTATTTTTATTTTCTTTCACAAAGTCACATGACAAAAAACAGTAATAAAAATGGTTGCCTGTAAAGTCGGTTTTACGGGCGAAGATTTTACGTGACAACGTCTTTTTCTCGGTAGAATATTTATTGATATGAATATAATTAAATTGCACAATAGGAACAAGGAATTGAATGAAAATAAGAATTGCACAAATTTTAACTATAGAAATATATTTTGTTTACTAAAACATTGTACATGTAAACTTAAACTCATCGTAACGTTACCGAGCGTTACACTTTTTCATAAGTGACTCCCAGCCGCAACCTAATTTAAGACGTTGTCACGTCAACAATGCAGTTCTTCGAGAGAGCTGGAGATTGTACTAGGTTACAAAACCTGTGTTACGACCCCCAGGCTCGAATCCTCTTAAAGCCCGTTTGCCAGAGATTCTTATGCATTACATGAATATAGATGTCGCCGCCACAAATCTATGCTATTTGAAATTGAATGTACTCACGTCCTGCGAATTGGAGTGGTGCTGAGCCGAATGATCTAGATGCGCGTACAGCTGTTGAAGTACGTCGCGTAGTTTCTTAACGCTCTTACGGGACGGGACCATTACTACGGCCTGGAAGTTCACCGGTAGGCCGTACCTGGGGCAAAGTTTATTTATTTATAACACATTTGCTCGTAAAGCGTCTCTTATTGCACCAATTTATCTATTATATTACACACGCGTGCGGTAATGTTTACTAGAAAAAAATCCACGCGGACCAGGAAGCGGACGGGACTCGAACCCGCACCCTTCGCAATCCGGGCGAATGCACTGACTATTATGCTACCACGGCCCTATTCGCCGCGTCGAAATTTCGATTTTTTTCTAATAAACTTTTCTTTAAGTTAGTTGTTATTCAAATCTTAGTCAATTCAATGTTAAATAATAATTAAAATGTATTTTTTTTACTAACACGTGACTTAATGAAGCATTAAATGAATTGTACGTTTATGGGTCAGGTTTAAATATGTTTAAAACTATTTGTTTCTTAGGTTCTCACACACATCACTCAGTAAATAAAACAAGTTTCAACGGGTTAGATTTTAGCACTGATTTTATTTATTTATTAACGGTACGCATCCTTTGCAGGTTTGCGTCGTTGGAATAATGATTTTTCATTTAATTTGTCGACTTACCTATGAAAGACTTTTTGTGCCTTAATATTTAAAACTAGTCGACTCACCTAAGCACCGATTCGACGAACACTCGCAGAGCCTTGACGTGAATCCAGGCGCAGAAGCACTCAGAGAAGTTCACTTTCAACCATCGCACCAGGGGACCCTGTACAAACATGCAATATTAACCTTTATATCCATTAGCACTAGGTATATTATTCCATGCCACGTTAATATTTTCATAGAATATTTCTGCAGGCGCGCCACGGTTATGCGTAAGAAATGTTCATAACTTGAACAAAACTTGGTTCTGATTGCGTCGTCGCTATCAGGTGTGAGCGCTGATTGGTTCGATTGTTTGATGTCGCGTCGTTTGATTGGCTATTAAGTATTAGGTGGAAGTGTAGTGGGGGCTAGCCGGCGATATCGGCTCGCGTACAAAATGTCTACGTTTTTAGTAATAGTCTCTATCGTAAACGTAAATGAGTTGCACAAAATGAAATTTTGATATTTGCTAGCCCAATGTCAAATATATAGTTTAAATTGAATTATTTTTCATGTGGGGTACATGAAATAGAGACGATTTTTTTTTATTTTCTACCCCAACTTGTGACCCATCTTTTTCTAGAGCTGATTGAGTAGAACATGATTTTTTTTTTAATTTGTTTTCAATAACAAACAAAGGCCTTCGAAGCTGTAATTTTTAGACCTTGAATTAGAATGTTGTTACGGGATCTATCTTAAAATCAAAACTAGTTAAGACTGTAACATTTTGGAATATGATATCCCATACGCTGTATTTAAACAAAAAATACTGAAAACGATGGATTCATAATGTACTTTGTAAATTGTGACGAAAACAAATCAAATGATTTTTCGCTTTCGCGATTTGCAATGTCATACTGTCAACTGTTTTCATAAAACATGTTATGTGTTTTCTTTAGAATTTCACGATTTTGGTTTCTAGTTGTAGCAGGCGATTTAAAAATATCTGCGAATGCAGTTCTACCTATTATTAAAAATAAAATGATGGCTTCTTTCAGTAAAATATCCCATCTTCAATATTTAATATACTTTCCCTCCGTGTGACAAATCCGTGGGACGCCTATATTCTAAATGATGTAATGGAAGGTGATTTCAGAAGTGACTCTGAAGTCATTTTTCAACCGACTCCGTATATAACAATAGAGGGAGAAATAAACAGCCCTTAATGAGTTTCTTGCCGGTTCTTCTCAGTACAAGGTCTCCCACCGTAGTTTTCCGAACCGATTTAGCTTCTCGACTTTCACAAGTGCTTGTAACAGTCTAGACTGAATAAATGAATTTTGATTTTGAACTGCATAACCTCAGAAATCAATAATAATTTTTATATGGGTATTTAGTGCTTTTCTCTTTTCTGTCATTTGTTATGTCTTATCCAATCTTAATTTAATTTTACACTTCTTCTTGTCGGTGACCAGCTTGGTGATCTCGTTCTTCCCTGCGGCGAGGTCGGCCTCGTTGTACGAGAACTCGCGCTATATATATAGTACTCACGAACTGCTTCTTCTTGTCGGTGACCAGCTTGGTGATCTCGTTCTTCCCTGCGGCGAGGTCGGCCTCGTTGTACGAGAACTCGCGCTATATATATAGTACTCACGAACTGCTTCTTCTTGTCGGTGACCAGCTTGGTGATCTCGTTCTTCCCTGCGGCGAGGTCGGCCTCGTTGTACGAGAACTCGCGCTATATATATAGTACTCACGAACTGCTTCTTCTTGTCGGTGACCAGCTTGGTGATCTCGTTCTTCCCTGCGGCGAGGTCGGCCTCGTTGTACGAGAACTCGCGCTATATATATAGTACTCACGAACTGCTTCTTCTTGTCGGTGACCAGCTTGGTGATCTCGTTCTTCCCTGCGGCGAGGTCGGCCTCGTTGTACGAGAACTCGCGCTATATATATAGTACTCACGAACTGCTTCTTCTTGTCGGTGACCAGCTTGGTGATCTCGTTCTTCCCTGCGGCGAGGTCGGCCTCGTTGTACGAGAACTCGCGCTATATATATAGTACTCACGAACTGCTTCTTCTTGTCGGTGACCAGCTTGGTGATCTCGTTCTTCCCTGCGGCGAGGTCGGCCTCGTTGTACGAGAACTCGCGCTATATATATAGTACTCACGAACTGCTTCTTCTTGTCGGTGACCAGCTTGGTGATCTCGTTCTTCCCTGCGGCGAGGTCGGCCTCGTTGTACGAGAACTCGCGCTATATATATAGTACTCACGAACTGCTTCTTCTTGTCGGTGACCAGCTTGGTGATCTCGTTCTTCCCTGCGGCGAGGTCGGCCTCGTTGTACGAGAACTCGCGCTATATATATAGTACTCACGAACTGCTTCTTCTTGTCGGTGACCAGCTTGGTGATCTCGTTCTTCCCTGCGGCGAGGTCGGCCTCGTTGTACGAGAACTCGCGCTATATATATAGTACTCACGAACTGCTTCTTCTTGTCGGTGACCAGCTTGGTGATCTCGTTCTTCCCTGCGGCGAGGTCGGCCTCGTTGTACGAGAACTCGCGCTATATATATAGTACTCACGAACTGCTTCTTCTTGTCGGTGACCAGCTTGGTGATCTCGTTCTTCCCTGCGGCGAGGTCGGCCTCGTTGTACGAGAACTCGCGCTATATATATAGTACTCACGAACTGCTTCTTCTTGTCGGTGACCAGCTTGGTGATCTCGTTCTTCCCTGCGGCGAGGTCGGCCTCGTTGTACGAGAACTCGCGCTATATATATAGTACTCACGAACTGCTTCTTCTTGTCGGTGACCAGCTTGGTGATCTCGTTCTTCCCTGCGGCGAGGTCGGCCTCGTTGTACGAGAACTCGCGCTATATATATAGTACTCACGAACTGCTTCTTCTTGTCGGTGACCAGCTTGGTGATCTCGTTCTTCCCTGCGGCGAGGTCGGCCTCGTTGTACGAGAACTCGCGCTATATATATAGTACTCACGAACTGCTTCTTCTTGTCGGTGACCAGCTTGGTGATCTCGTTCTTCCCTGCGGCGAGGTCGGCCTCGTTGTACGAGAACTCGCGCTATATATATAGTACTCACGAACTGCTTCTTCTTGTCAGTGACCAGCTTGGTGATCTCGTTCTTCCCTGCGGCGAGGTCGGCCTCGTTGTACGAGAACTCGCGCTATATATATAGTACTCACGAACTGCTTCTTCTTGTCAGTGACCAGCTTGGTGATCTCGTTCTTCCCTGCGGCGAGGTCGGCCTCGTTGTACGAGAACTCGCGCACCACGAACTTGCGCTCGCGCGCGTGCAGCTTGAACTCGTCCACTACCTAGTATGAAGGCGTATGTTGAGCTTTAGAGCCAGCCAGATATATAGTCTGTTCCTAACGAATTTAGACCAGAAGTAAACAAAGATCTAATTAAGTCTGACCATAGACAGTTCAGTGATTCAAAGAGCCTTATCAAAATCAATTGATCAAGATTTAAGATAATAATAAAACCTAAAAATAAAAACAAAATACCAACTTAATTGCTCATATTTGCAATAACACAAAAATAACGTTCCATAAACTGTATTATTGATGTGTAACGTCTTTCCTCTCGCTTTCGTGCAATTTGTGGGAGTGATTACGTGAAGTGGGACGGAAGTGTGTAACAGAAAGTTTAGGAAGCGCGCGCTATTTGATTTGATTTTAGATTATCATGTTCAAATGGCTTATTCCTTTTGTAGTAGGTTTAATTTCATTTTTACAAATATGAGGTGAGGTTTCAAATGTTACACATCATACGCGACTACTGTAAAGCTCGCTCGTTTTTTCACTATATTACTTACCAGTTCGAATAAATAATCAATTCACTATTCGATTACTAACGTCAATTTAAAATAATTTCGAATAGACTTTTCAGTACAACACTGTTCAACCATAGACGGAAGACAATTCCCATCTTCCAAAAGAACCTTACTTTTCGACTCAAGTTTTTATTTTAAATTTTTCATATATTTGTAAAAAAATATGTGCTAAAAAAGATAGTGAATTAATAAGTCAAACCCCTAGAAATGCAATGAATGTGTTGAGAAATCAATTTAGTGAGTCTTTGCGTGGGAATTAGGAGGTAAAGTGTTTTTTTTTTGGTCTAAATTCGTTTGTAACAGATAGTCTGTTACAAACGAATTTAGTTAAAAAGGGTATAAAACAAGATTTAGAAAACGATCTTATGTTATTTACTATAATGTTCATGGAGTTCATAAAAATTGGATATATTCAATTCTGTTGTGTAATTCTATAAAAAAAACTAAATATTTTTTATCTATTTTTTCAAAGTGTCGAGAAAACGTTTCTCTGGACATTATGGCGTCTCACTAGTGTGTGAAGTCACGCGACTGTCATTAAAATGTTACGTGAGAGCGATACGTCACGTCATTATGTCACTTTGCCGGAAGTTTACTAGCGTGTGACGTCATTTTAGCCTTGGCCAACCCCCGCCGTTTTCGGCCAAGTGTTCGCAAAAAAAAATATCTCTATTCAATGATTTTATATAATTTTTTTGTTCTTTCAGAATAACAGAATCGCTTCAATCGCTGCTAATAATAATATTAAATACAGATGCTAACAATTGGTACATTATTTTTCATTCTGTCAAATAACCTATTGCAACGGAACTAAGTGGACCTAAGGTATTTAATCTTAAAGTTCTCTATATATTCTGTCTCGTTCTCTCACCTTCTTGAAGAGAGTGACGGTGTAGAGCCCGTAGTCGTTGTCCTGGTGGATGATCTGGGACGAGCGAGGCACGATCATGTCAGTTATTTTCTCGTAGTTGGCGTTCCAGTCGTTAAACATCGACCTGTAGTACAATATTGCACCTTATTGTAAAAGTGGATAAAGTCTATATTACGCTAGCCTGAAAAACTTAGAAATTACATTTTTTTTTGTAAACTCTCGAAGTTACAGATGTGAAATAAAAAACGTTTTATAGCAAATTTTATCAGCTTTCTTTGAAACTTATCTTCAAAATTAAAGTCTTGTTCGAGTCCCTTTTATTTCGAAAGTATTATATCTTATGGTACTTAAAAAGTTATCGCAATTTTAAAAGTATTATACTTACTACGTTTTGCAGGTCAGTGTTGAAAAGTTGAATATTAATTTGATTCTTTATTTGGAGTTTACTTTTGTTTAATCTTTAAAAATGTCAAGTATTTCTGAAGTTTAAATAAATGTATTTATTTATTTTTCAATATTGTGAAATATTTAGGTACCTAAGTAGAAAAGGCGTACTATTTAAAGCGATCTTATATAATTGCCTACCATATAAAAGTAAATTAATCCAATAAATAAAGTGATTTTACTTAGGAAAAAAAAACGATCTCAGAAATGCTTATCAGATCATCATTAGTAAACTAAAAGAAATTAATAAGTAAATCTTTGCGAGAAATTGAAATTAGGAATGAACGAGTAAAAAATACTTGTGCTAGCATCTAGACTAGACAAAGACTAAAGTCATTAATATGCAAATAGGCTTATAAAAAGCGCTTTTATACGTCCCGATATTACTTTATAGCTACCACAGCTTCGGGACAATAAATGGACTAGTGCTGAGAAGCAGCGCAAGAAACTCAGTCACCTTTGTCAGCCTCTTTTCAAGGATTTACAATACTGTATACAATTATAAATATTGATGCGAGCTAGGCTGTTATACAATTCCAATCATTTTTTTCTTTTATATAATATTAAACTTTATAGTTGCCCTTTTTCTTTAAGAACCCTTTTACAAAATTGCACCGCTGCCACACTGATCGGCGGGTAGGTAGATTTGCACAAGAATATATTGCATTTTACGGGTGATGATTCGAGTCTTATAAATTAATTATTAATGATCTATACATATTTCATTATAAAAATATATACATATTTCAGTAGTTCAATGATGGTAGATTAGTTTTATGAAAGTTTTTGATAGTAATTCTATTTAATTCAATATCAAAATACGAGGTAAACCTGCATTGTTTTTTGGGAAAACTCACGGAGGTTAGACGTTTTTTTTTGATAATTAATGAGATGCAAAATCAAAATTCTAATACTTTATGTTACAACAAAAACATATTTCTGAAGTCGTAGTAATAGGGATGATGACTATTTTTTTTTCTTCGTTTATCAGGTAGATTATCAAAAAGTATTGGACACGTATTTTTTCTTTTTTCACATAATATAAACATTGCAGAGATATATTGATTTGAAAAGTCGCATGACGTCACGTTTGAGTACACTTATAAGTGAAAATTCACTCAAAAGTGACGTCACGAGCCCCTATTCCCAAACTTTGACGCGCTATATCTTTGTAATTTTTTGGTTGATTGTCCAAAGAAAAAATACGTGTCCATTATTTTTTAATCATCTAACTGACGGACTAAATAGAATTTCGTTTACTATACCCCGTCATCACCCCTATTAATTTGATCTAATTTATTGAACATTAATTATAGAAATAGGCGTTTGAAGTAGTGCATATTATCGTTTTTTCCGTAAACTAGCTGCCATAGAACGATCAGTACAAAAAAGGAAAATAGTATTTGCAAATATTCTACATTAACTTACAATAGGAAGAATAAATGTACTGTTAACTTCTATTGGAAATAGTAAAAATCTTGCCTAAGGGGGTAAACGAGGCGCTCAAAAATTGCGATTTTTTGCAAAAAATGTGGGCTAATAAGGTACTTCTAATATAAATAATATTGAATGATGTGTGTATAGTGAAGACTTACTTAGGCACGATGACAAGCAATGTGGTGAGGTATTCACTGTCCAGAATGAAGTGCTCCTTCTTCACCAAGTCAGCCAAGTTGCGGGTCAGAAGACTGCCGCTAAGGGGGACAATGATAATATAAAGTGTGACAAGGATCTTTATTATAAATAAATATTTTCAACACTCACACCAATTAGCCTAGCCCCAAAGTAAGCACTGTACGGCTTGTGTTATGGGATACTAGGGTAACGGATAGAATACATATACTGTACATATATAAGTATATCGAAAACCATATTAAACATCCATGACTGGAGTACAAATGCTGGTGTTCATCACACAAACATCTGCCTCCACCGGGATTCGAACCCGGGACCTCTCGAGTCGGCGACACCATGAAACCCGGCATACAAACCACTCGGCCACGGAGGTCGTCGTTATTAAAGGTGGCATTAATGGTTAAAAAAAAATACAGTGTAAACTCTATATTATAACGACACTAAAGGGACTGTACATTCTATGGTGTTATAGAGAGTTAAATAAAACTAGTTTTTACGGGTTAATGCATGAAACTTTCGTGCATTAACCCGTAAAAACTAGTTTTATTTAATGAGTGATGTGCGTGAAAACCTAAGAAACAAATATGTTATAGAGAGTTCAAATGAAAAGAAGAAAAATCAGAATTATGAAAAGAAAAAGTTTATTTCAAGCTAGTAGTCGGCCGGCAGTCGAGTTTATTATTGGCTAGTATAATAAAGCGACAGAAGAACGTACACAGCTGCGCGATTTTCACTAATTTTGGCAACTTAAATGGTACTTTTTATTACTTAATTGTTGTCGTTATTGAGAGTGGGTGTAATGCTATATGGAGTGTACCATTGTATGGAAAACAAACTAAACCAAGCAAAGACGAGTGATTTCGTCGTTAAATCGAGTGGCGTTACATGGAGTTTACACTGTATTAGTTAAAAATTAAATAAAAATATAAGATAATTTTAATGTTTGAAAATATCAGTTGATATTATTTTATTAAAATACAATGTGGATTTTTTCCACAAGTTAATTTATTGTTAATATTTTAAAACTTCGGTATGTGATTGAAATTATTAAATACGGTTATCTTATCAGTCGGTTACATTTATCTATGATACGAATTAATATTTCTCTCGCGTTAAAATCAACGTGAATTGAAAGGAATATTTTTATTCGATATGGTTGAAAATATTTATCGAATATATGTGTTAACTTTTTTATTATTTTATTTCAGGGGTTGATAAATATACTCAACAACACAAATCTTTACGAATGCGAGTGAGAGTTCAGGGAGGGCACAACTGTTACGTAAGTAACATAAAAAATATGACGTTTACAAAGATGGCGGCGTTAGTTCAAATTTTTGCCGCATTCATAAAGAGCCTTGTCACACTAAACTATAAACTATTGTTTAAGGAGACAATGCTACTCCCATAAAAATATCAAATCCGAAGCAAAAATGTATATATTAATATACCAAATTTTTTGTCGTGCAAAATACTTTTTCATTACCACTGACAAACTAATAAATTATAGTATTATCCTATAATTAAATAAAAAACAAATATTTGGACAGAAAAAATCGAATATTTAATTTTATTTCTGATTAATCGCAAATTGGTATAAATACCGCGATTTAATATTACCAACGTTGTATTGTTTTATTAAGAAGTGATCTTATATTTCCCATTGAAGAAGAGGGATTTTATGAATGTAGGTAAGTATGATATTGTTAAAATAAAGCTTTAAATTTTTTATTCAATTCACACGCAAGCCTACCGAACAATTTATCAAAAAACTGTTAGATTTAAGTTACCTAGTTTATTTTAAACATTTACACTTGTAAAGTTCAAAGTCTATTGAAAAATTTCGCACTTCACGGTAACTCATTGAGCTTTTGCTAATGCGAATTCTTGTTTATATTGTTCATAGTAGGTGTGAGCGTTCTAAAGACGAACCGGTTTCAAGGACCGTTTTGTGTTCCGCGACGATAGAACCGTTTTACGTTTCGGATCAAAACAGTCTTCGTCGAACAATTAATCCTCGGATTCTCTGCACGCCAATATGTACTTTATTCTGAAGTCAATACAGTCTATAATAGAACGCAATGATATGAGGCCGTTTCGTTCTATGATAATTAAGCTTTGATTTTACAATAATATAATCTTTACTAGTGAACATTTAAAGTCGATTATCGTATAACACTACATTTATTTCGATGTTTCGTCGTCTCGTTCGCAGCAACGAAACGAATGTGAACAAGATTTTATTTAGTTCAGTTTCGTTGCGTTACATTCGTTCGATCGTCGCGTCGCGTGTCGTTTCGTTGCGTCACCCAGCCGCAACCAAAACCAGTTGCGAACGAGAACCGTTTCGAGGACTAGTTTTCGTTTAAGGGTGAGGCCAAACGAGCGTAATTTTGTGAGTGGTGAGTCGCAGAATTTCGGTCGCAGATATTCTGCTGCATTCGGTTTCATACAAAAAGGCAGTTGGTGCCACACGACAACGCAAAATGAGTTGTCTGCCGACTCAATGCGCATAAGCTCGTCCGAATTTCGGTCGGGGTGAGGGTAGGACAAGGAAGGGGAGTGGGGAAGCAACAGTTTGTTACAAGTTGCGTGGTGTAATAATTCTTGAAAAACACGTAATGGCATATGATAGTACTTTTCAAACATATCTGGATTAGCACATAAACGTTCATATAAAGTATGGAACTGTCCACATATCAGCCTCTGACTATTCAGTGGGTTTACCCAGTTTCTTTTTCAGACCTCATCTTCTGAATATGCTTCGTAAATACACAATATTTTTAATGGATCCATTGCACTCGACGACACGAACACCCCGTACTAACGCTCAATAGTAACTGAATAAATTACGTTCGTATGGCAGCTCAACAGAAATTCAGTTGAACGTAAAATAAGTGACCGAAAATAAGCGACTCACAACTCACAAAATTACGCTCGTTTGGCTTCACCCTAAGAGAAACCGGTTGCGTTTCGTCGTCAGAAAATTTGGGAACAACCCACCCCTAGTTCATAGCATACTTACGTCTGCTTCTTCTCTAAATTTTGCAGGTTGCCTTTGAGTGCGTTGTATGCGGACGACTTCACCTTCAAGTCAGCATCAATCTGACCCAACTGTGGGAAACATTCTCACATTTACATAGATTGTTTCTACATAAATTTTTACTACTGAATTTATGAAGTGAAAGTCTATGAAAATAGTAAATCTTACTTGTTTACTAATGATGTCAGCTATGTTACGTAAACTCTGCTTGATCGGATACTTAGCCATGTCCCACTGGAAGCGAGTGAGGTACGTAGGCAGGTCGCCTGAAACACGCAAAAAGTCATAAGTCAAAAAATTCCATTTTCAGACTATATATCATTTAAAAGAAAAAACGTTCAATTTAATAATTTGGCGAACACATATTTTTTTAATCCATTTTATGAATTTTATTCAGTATTAATCTTCTTTTCTTTTGTTAATACAACGCTGTCAATATAAAATTATAAATGTATATTGTAATTATGATGTTTTTATAAAAATTTGTGCTTTTTAGGTGCTATAGATAATAAGCTTTCGTAATTATTTGTTTGTGTGTTATACTGACAGCGGTGATATAAAAAAATAATTCATTTTAGGCTTAATGTTTTAATTTTAAAAACAGAACAACGACATGTTATCTATTCTTAAATTACGATACAAACAAAACCAATAATTTATGTATGTGCTACAACTAAAAAAAACTAACAAAAAATAATAATAATAATAATACGGTATCAACAGTGCTACATAATATAAATGTCCACACTTACATAATAGCGCCATTATAAACGATTACAATTTAATTAATGTCATGCGACACCTAAAACATGCACCATGCATAACGGAACATGCATAGTTTTACATCAAAAACTACTAAAAATGCAAAGCGGTCATACATCATATAGAAACGCTAAATAATATCGTTTTTCCATTATAACACAACAACACAGTTTATGAACGCTGATTTACAACACGCAGTCATTTCAAATTTTAAAGTTTAAGTTAGTAATAACTTATAATACCTTTCTTATCGAAGCACTGTACTCAAGCTCGAAATAGCTGATTGTAGTTTAAGATTCGAGCACACACAAAATAGCAGTAAGGTCAATTGCCTGAAGACAATCGATTTAAAGTTTTGCGACAATTATTGACTTCAATTTTAAAATAATTATCAATCCAGAATCAAGAACTAAATGCCAATTTGAACAAAATATAATTATATAATGATATTATTTTTTTATACGTATGATTAAAAAAACAATTGTTTTGTTGGTTCTTAATCCTATTCCATAAGTAAGAAACAAACTACTTACTTAATTTGAAATGATAATTTTTGAGTTCCGGAAATTATTATTTTGGTGGACATTGTACCTAACGAAAAGGCCATAGAAATTCATATAACAGGTATTTACGGGATGAAATGAAAGGGGAACTTATAGACAGAACTATTGAAATCGGAAACATTCATAAAACTGAAGTATATATCTCGCTAAAAGTAACATTAAGGTCAAACATATTTTTCCGTACGAATAATTAATAAAGGATTTAACAATGACTCACTTATTGGCTTAGGGTAAACATATAATTATCAATTAGGAACATGCTAAAAGGAACGAGAGGTATGATTAATGGAAAAAATAAAATTTACGAACGCTGTATAAATAATAAAAAATAACATGTAAGGTATTAAATAAACAAAACAAAGCAAAATAAAAATCAATGATATAACTTAAACTATGCAAATTCACATTTACAGGGAAAGCAGTAAAGGTATTCCAAAAAATATAAAATAGCTAGGAATGCCTCCTGTTTTTGTTAACTACACATTTGATAGATTTATTACTTTGAAAGCATTTGCAGATATGGTGTGATATTGACGTACATTTGTGGATTACTAGCCACGAATGAATCTCAGCGTCACCCTAAACTTTTGGAAAAAAATATTAATTACAAAATTTAACGGAACAGAATAACAAAAATTCAGGATGGCGCCACCAAAAACACATATTGTACGGCCAGCGCCATCTGCAAGTTAAAAGTAAAAAGCGTCCTATTCCACTCAGACCAGGGTACAGTAATATATTTTCATTATTAAATCAAACGCAATCACTGCTCACACGGATGGGTAACACGGAGTAACAAGCATTCTAGCAGGTAGCGCTGTTCGTAGCTTAGGTAGTTATGAATACAAGCCTACCAGTAGATTTTTTAACAAATCTTACAAGTAACTTTTAAACTGTATTTGAGACTTGTTTATAACATTTGTCAGTAACATCGATTCCTAAGCGCTGATAACTCGGTACTTATAAGAAAGCGATCCAGTTTCCGCGTATGTATACGATTGTAATATAATATCTAACGTAAAACGGCTTCTTAAGTTTTGTCGTATGACGTAGTAATTTGTAGGGCCTCATTATTTCAATATTTATGGCTTCTACATTAGTTCACATCCAGCATGTGTTTTATCATAATTTGAAGGTTTACTTGTGCTCCGCATCTGCAATTTATCTCATATAAAAGTAGTCTCAAAATCAGTTTAAAAGAACGCATCTCCACGGTCAATCCTAAACCTTGAGTGAGCACATGATGGTGGTGTCTTTCTTCATCTTCGTCGTCGTCCCAACGCGGCGAGCTGCGCCCGCTACTGGGCTGGGACGGCTGGGAGGCGTCGCACTCAGAGTGGTGCTCGCACGGCCAACAGCCGTGGTGATCAGAGAAGGCCGAGTCACAGACGGGAGAGCTCGGCGAAGGAGGCGGTTCTCCCCCACCGGGATCCGCGTAAGAGTCGATGCCTGAACGGCAGTGCTGCTTTATTAACCCGTCTGATCTAAGATATGATATCTTTGATTGAACCTACTTTACGGAACGCAGCGTACGGTAGACCCAATACGACTGTGACGCTTTGACGGTATTTGGACGATCCCCTTCAATTATAAGCTCACGCAAAGCATTTATTAATCTGATCAATTAATACGATTGCCAGAGTTTGAAATATGAATCTTATCTTCCTATTACATCCGCGATTGATTTTATTTTTAAAAAATCTGTATAGTTCTACCATAGTCATGATAGAACGAGCAAAACTACCGTAGTAAGTGGAAAAGGCAAATTTATTTTTATTTATAGGTTTTATGACGTCTCGAAACTGATATAATATAGCCAATATATGCCACGAATTCAAACATTATGATCGCATAAAATCTTCTCCTCGATTTGTTATACGACCGTCCATTCTATTTAAATGTTTATGTCCAACTTGTTCCACTTTATACATTCCAAGTTTATTGACCGTAAACGCCTCACGAATAAGAAACCAGGGCAAATAAAATTAGAGGACATTAGTAAAGGAGAGGAGCAAAGTATATATAAAAAAATACATAAGGTGAGGGAACTGAAATATAAAAATTAAGGAATAAAAAGCGCTATGCGTAAACGTAATATAAGCTTGAATGGCTAAGCTATGAATGTCTTGTGAGGCAGTGATTGCGATTCATCTATGATATATGGCGACATACATAGAAATTGTCTTTGATATCAGATATCTACGAGACATACTTACAGTGGATACCGACAAAAACTTCAATACACAAATGTGTTCTTAATACATATATAGTGACATTAAACATGGCTAACAGTTTTATTACCTAAACGAATTTACTATAGTCCCTTAAGTCGTGTTTTCTAAACTATTACACATAAAGGATTAATAAAATTTCTTTGAAAATAGTATTACCATACACAGCAAAGAAAACACAACCTAAAATATTTAAATTCTTTAGTGACATATGTTATGAATACGAGACGCTGAAATATTTTGTGGGAAATGAAATTATGATATATTTATGGATAACTAAGTAAAATGTAATAATATTTCAGTTTCCCTATATCATGTTTTCCATTTTTATATAACTTATGTCTATAAAAAGAGTTCTTCTTTTTTGTTAATATCCTTTTTTATCATTATTGTTCTACCTGCTAGCTTTGTCGACTTATCAACTACAAATTCGAAGTGAAAATATTATTTGCTTTATATATATTTATTTTGTTCAATCAACTATAACTGACATTTGATGAATATCTGCAAATATCAGTATCGTAACCGCGCTCCAATTTTTTTTTATCATATTCTATACATATCAAAAATTTTAAACATCGTCGTATTTTTGGGACACATAAATACAAAAATAAATGATAATATTTACATATCACCGCACCTTAAAAGCTTCAACATAATATATAAGCTGGCGACAAATACTTCGAAGCAATATATACACTATCAATGTTACTCACTGCCGCATACTTTTTTCCATTTCTCAGACACTGAAATGCAATTCCAAACTAGCATTCACGTGCTAATAAATATTATAAACTATAAATTAACCGTTCTAACTGAAAGAAAATAAAAAAAATACTAAAAATACTTTTCCTTTTACTAATAAGCAAATTTAAAATTCATAGAGATTATTGTGAAACATATACACATTTAAAGAAAATTGTAGTGACGCACGTAGTACAGCTATTTTCCTCCATCATCTTAATAAAAAGTTTAAAATAGACGTACTGATAAAAAAACATTAAAGTAAATGTATAATCCAGTTCGATACATATGTAAAAAAATATAAATCATATTTACGCTTGAATTTAAATGAATTTATACTTTGTTACTGATGGCCATGCGAATCATATTAAAGTGTTTCTTAAAATAAATTAACACGTTTGTTTTTAATGCATATCGTCATCAGTTGAATTAATATAATTCAAGCTAACATAAGATATTTTTTAATTACTTTTTATTTACTACTACATATAATGAAGATAGTAACGACTTTCAGAAATATTTCGCCCCTTTACTATTGATAAGCAAAATAACTTTTTTACAAGTTTTACGCCTACTGCGTAAACGTACCCAATTTTAAGGCCGACCAGTTAACGGGATACTTCTAGTATTTATTTTTGTTGCACAATGAATTATGAGAAATATTTTATAGCGGACAAACACGAAAAGGCGGAGCAGGGCAATCCTCGTTAACGAATAGATCATACAAAAGAGAATGGTCTTAATGGTGTTGAAACCACGGCTTTTCTTAATACTTTTTTTCTGGTTAAGGGTAAATTTTATTTTAAAAACGCAGCGCATCTCATCCGCGTCAAAGAATTAGATTTTATATATAATCATAAAAAAAATATAAAGACTTTTATTATTTGTCCCTGTAAAGTCAATAATGTTCAATTATATCAAAAATATATATACATTCCGTACAATATATTTCACACAATAATAAGATGCATGATGTGCAAGGAGAGGTTCGACGTAGTCTCAATTAGACGAACCTTATGACAAAACAAAAAAAATATACAAACACTGTCCACTCAACATTCTTAGCCTCTGTTTATATTATTATTAATTATTGATGAACACCAAAGAACATTCTTAAAATTTAAAAAAATGACGATATACGCTTTTTGTATGCGGTGGTCAAAGACTTATAGTGTCAATTATAAAAAAAGAAGATAATATTAAAAATTAACATTTTCAGATTCATTTTGAATATTATTAAAAAAATTGTTACTAATTTAAAATATATTTATAGTAAAGAGACGACAATGGCATTTTTTTAACAAAACAATACGTAATGAATGTACTTAGGGGGCGTCCACAAATTACGAGTGATGTTTAAGGGGGGAGTGCGTCGAGTCAAATCTCATCGTAAGATTACGATGGAGAGAGGGGGGTCTCGGCAAATATCACGCAATTTTTTCTGATTGAAACAAAAAAAAAATACTATTTTGGTTCATTTAATCCAGATTGTACATGCTTAAGATTTAATTATATTAAAATAAAAGCACGAAGCATTTTATTTTTTCTTTTTATTAGAACAATCCAACGCGTTTACTTAAGAACCCACATTTTGAAAAATCTCACGAGATTGGGGAATGGGGGAGGGGATTGAATAAAATCTCACGACAGCTCACCAGCTGGGATGGAGGGGCAGAAAATTCAAAAAAAAACACCTCACGTAATTTATGGACGCCCCCTTATCATCTGTATCTGTTTCATTTTTGTTACAAAAATAAATAGTGAATGGTATTTGCGGATACATAAATAAAACACAATGGACATATTCCAAGAGTAAAAATATTTTCTAATCAATCGTCATTTTTCTATTTCTTATAATTTAGAAATATAATATAGTCCATATAATTTAGTTTATCAATTAAATAAATTTTATTAATCTGGTGATAGGTTCGTTGGCATCATCAAAAGTATAAATATACATTTATTGTGCTTTTATACGTGAAAGGGGAATCAATGTGTAGTGTTAATGTGTGATGTTAAGAAAAAAGAAATAAAATTGTGCAATAATTAAAATTGCAAAAAAGGAGAATAAAGTAAGTATCTAATAATATAAAATTATTATAAAAATAGAATAGTCATTGAAAATACAAAAATAAAGTTACATGCAAATTAAATGGACAATAATAATAAAAAAAGTAAATTTAATAAAAGAATACATGGTTCATTAACATCCGTATTTCAGCGACACATGCTTTAAACTTTTTGCACTACTGTGTGCTTTTGGTTCGTTTTTCTACAGTATTCCATTCTTGCCTATGATTAAAATTAGTTTTTCATGCTAACAACAGTTGTAGCTCTTTTTTCTCTCTATAATATATTCCCAAACATGCTACCATAGTTTAACTCTAAACTCCAATGTCTCTTCATGCAATCTTATTTAAATTTATTTATTGACTAAATCAATCTATTTATCTCTTTAATAAAATATTTCATTTAATTTTTATCTTTAAATTGATGGCGCTAAACACTATTTGAAAACTATTTCATATTATTTATATGATGTAGAAATTATTAAAAAAATAAAAAAAATGTTTAGAGCCATAGAAACATAATATCACAAGAAAATTGAAACATGACTTACTGTTGTTTGCCATCAGATTCTCATGGAGCTTGTCACGTTGGTCTTCTAGTACCTGTAGATACCATGGACAAAATAAAAATCAATCATTAATTGAATCAACAGTATCCCACAGATAGGAATAAAAGTATTAATTTATTTATAAATAAGAAAATACATAGGTGTTCAAAACAATGGGACAGATGCTTAAATGGGGTATGTTATATTTAAAAATATTCTTAAAATATTTCAATGGTTTGGTACATTTTCAAATCATTATTTGTGTAAACCCTAGCAAACTTCTAATGCAATGACCATAACAAAGAAAGCCTGCGTATTAGCAAGTAAACATACAAGAAAGGTTTTTTGCGCAAGTTTATTTGGCTGTGGTTTTGCTAAAGAAGTTTGCTGCTATCGGTACACCATATACTATTAAAACACATAAAAAAATGTGACTAAAATAATTTTATTTTTAAATTTAAACATATTATTAGACAATTTCTGATTATATTTTAGACTGGATCATACCATCAAAAATAAAATATTATGACAAATGAATTACAATACAACTATACAAAATTTCTGAACATAGTTTATAAAACTCGAGCTCTTTTATGCAGGTTGTGGAAGTGAAAAAGCTCAGACCAGCAAATAACTTTGGCCACTATGTTTTTTAAAAACTCTATTAAAGAAAGACATTTTTTGGTCTTAAACACATATTTACTTAAACATAACAAAGCAAGATAGGCCAACTAGGTCCCTGCCTCAGCTTAATACTACAGCAACACCTTCACTGTCCATTTGTCTATAAGCATTCTGTATCACATGAACTTTTATAATAAATAGATAGTTGAAGTTAGACTTCCCCGTTTTAATAAAAACAAAAAAACAGGATAGTGGAGACACCATCCAAGAAATGTGAATTTTTGTCAAGCACTCTATTTCAAATTATCCTTCTTTAATGGTACAGAGCCATTTCAACCGGTTTCTTTTCACTATTTTGCTTCATAGTGTATTAAATGATATGATGAGTAACATCCAAACCAATGTAAGCCAATTTAAGAAGATAAATTCTTTTTTAAATTGCTCTTTTCATCAAAATTAACTACTTTGAAAATTTAATACAAAATCAAATACTAAGGAATTATACCAACCTCACCAAGGTACTGAGCTACTTTTCTGGTGACACCCTCCACGAAAGTGTCAAGCTTACCCAGATCGTCGGACAGACCAACCAACTGATCCAATGTCCCTACCTGTAAAAAAATATGAATTCTAAGTTACCAATATTTTATTTACTATTTAACTGGAAAGGTTATGTAAACTATAGATGTTCTGTTCGGCACTGATATTTTAATAATCAAATAGTGTTTACATCTATAATTATAAAGAAATTATCACACCACACCTATTAGAGTTGTTCGTGGTATTTCTTTCATATTTTAATCTTGATTAAAGGCTTGATAGTTTTCAGCTCCTTATTAATAAAAGAAGAACGAACAGACTATTTACAGTCTTGTTTCATTCACATCACTCACATGACATTTAGTAATATGATGAACGGAGCCAAATCACATAAAGCAAAAAAAAACACTAATATGTAACAGTACATACTTGTTGATATTAATTATGGTAATTAACAAATATGTAACAGTACATACTTGTTGATATTAATTATGGAAAAAATCATTTAATTTGGACATACTGATAAATTGATCTTACCTTCAGGTCAGGGATTGGGAATTTGTAGTTGGCGCAAAGGTTGGCCGATCTGGTGGCATTGTTCAGGGTGTCCCATGTCTGCTGGCAGGTCTTATCACCAGGTGCACTGATCAACCAGTACTCCGACATTTTCACCACTGGAAAACCACAATTATATCATCAGCAACTGACACTGATCATAAAGAGGAATCGCGATTAGTCACCGTCATAACTACATATTAACAATTAGCGCCCAAACAGTTTTCCATTGACGGGAAAATCGATTTTAACAACACGCAAACGTATAGCCCACGGGCTCTCGGGACGATGTGCTGTTTGTAGTTCTAATTACGACCCTCCCGTCCCGTTGAGTGAATCGATATTGGGCTGAGGCCATCGGCGCCCGTTTGGCGGTCAGACATCCCGGCGCCCGTTTTCCATTATCCTACAATTTCCACCCCAAACCATTGCACACATCCGTCATCTAAGTTTTGACACTTTTCTGTCCCGCGCAAAAGCCACGTACAGTCTTCTCGCCGACACAGCACGGTTGAACGTATCACAGTACTCACCTACGACTTATAAATTAATGCTGTATAACAATAAATATCCGAAACAGCAAGTAATTTGGCGAAATCACAAGACAATTCGGGACTAGCCCTTCAACGCCATGAAAATTCACGTGATGCGGTGCTGCCACCTACAACGACTGAATGGACAGCTGATTTACGTCAATTTGTCTATGAAAAATTTTAATAAATAAATAATAATTTTATTTGTAGATTTATTATTTTTTAAGAAAAAGTTTAACTTTTTGCCTTAAATAAGTATATGCATATTGTATATTTTTATTATATTTTTAGGATTACATTGGTGTCAATTCTGACACGATTCTCTAAACCTAAACTTAAATTTGACAACAGTGTATCCTTGTCATTCTCTATACGGAATGAAAAGGAGAGATTGATGTTAAATTTAGTTTTAAGTTTAGAGAATCCCGCCAGAATCGATACCATTAATAAGGTATTTTTTTAATTAATATAACTTAAGTTAAAATACTTAATGTTATATTCTAAGAAGGGTTGTAGTTATTTTTCTAAATATTTTTCATACTCAGATTGAAGACCCTTTGTTTCGCAATTAAGATTATTCATTTTAATACACAAAATATTCAAAAATGTTTTAACTTGATATTAATTTTATTTTTTATAGATTACAGCATACAAGAATAAAACCGTTTATTTGGAATTTGTAAATTATTTTGAAACTTATGCATATGTAAGTTTCAAATTAAAATAAACGTAGACAAGATTTTTAAGTATAGAAGCTTATAGCATCTGGAGTTACAGCAAAATTTAATACATTCGACTTCATAGCATTTTCGGTTCAAATCGAAGTGGCAAATTCATTGTCTATTAGTAAATAACCGTTTGCTTCACTTATATGAGTTAAACAAGGCTGGTAGAGCGCTAGGAGGTGAGGTAGAAAAGTATAAAAAAAGAAATCAATGAAGTACCTCAAGTAGTACTGATCTACCTGGATGCAAGTCTTTGAGAGAGGCCAATGCTCAGCATTGGGCGTCGTATGGATGAATAATGTGGTGTAAGGTAAAACATGTCGGCTAAATTTTCAATAAAAAATCCTACGTTTATACACGTTTAATAGTACCAAATACTAAAGAAATTCTGCCGACTCCGGTTCTATAGTATTTGATAGTACCACGCTCGCATCCATCCCGAAAGCATCTTATCCAAATTAAAATATGAATAAACTGAATGCCGTATTAACTCTTGTCTTCATAAAACAAAATTACAAAAAAGGATCACTCCTGCTTGCTGGATTGCGTTCCGTGTATCTACTTCTATATGTACATTAAGGATTTTCTTTTTCTTGTAAATAGTTTGTTTGCGTGAATTTGCACTTATTACTATTACCAGAATTCCGCCAACGAGCGTTTCATTTTGATAATTTGCTTATAGTATTCGAATTCGGTGCGGTACGGAGCGCAACCTGTCAATGTCAATGACCCGAGCAGAAGTTACGAAACGCCAAACAAAATGCGAATATTCGGATATTTAGCAAAGAAAGTTGGCGATATAACTATAAAATATTCGAACCTCCCTGAGTCGTACATAAAAAGAAGCTACGAACAGGTATGAGTGTAAATACTTACGTAAACAATTAATTATGTTTATCTGCTGCTCGTAATGAAGATTATAACCTCAAATGTGTTTGTTTTAGGTTTATTGGAAGAACCCTACAGGTTATCCCCAATATGCAAAGACCCAAATAGCCCGCAAGCGCTATCGTTTTACTACAAATAGACCATGGTCTGGACAGTTTCAGCAGCAGAACGAAAGAGGCTCACATAGGAAAAAGGTGTTCTTGGAACCTGTTGGTGAATGGAGTTTCTTTAAGTGAGATTACTTCCATACATGAATGAAGTTTTGTTTTTTCTTAAACGTTTTATACTACGATAGCATATTAGGATATGATCAAACAAACTTCCATCACATTTTGTGATTAAAATATTATGTTACTGTTAGTGGTTATCATAGGCAGTTCTAGCATGTGATTTTTTTTACTGTATACTAAACAAATTATCATTTAAAGATACTTAAGCATTGTATAAAACAATGGGTTTGTACAGGTATAATTATTCAAACTTGTTCAAAAACACTACTTCAAAAACAGTATGCCCTTGTCGTTCTCTAAAGTGTATGGTAATAACCAATTGTCAAATTTAGTTTTAGGTGTAGAGATTACCAGTTTTAGGCGCATCTGTATAATTGTGAGGTTATAGTCTTTATTATGTATAAAAGGTTACTGACTGATCTATGCACTCGCAGGTTAAACTACTGAACTGATTGTGCTGAAATTTGGTACACACATAGCTATTATGATGAAGGTGTGTGCTAAGAAATGATTTTCCAAAACTCACCCCAGAAAAGGGTAAAATGTGGGTTCAAATTTGGGAAGCTAAATTTCCACAGAGACAAAGTTGCATGCATTAATGATAATGATAAGACCTGTATTCTAACATTATGTTTATCATAACTTTATTTATTATAATTATTATTCTGCTTGTTTATAGGGGAGACCGGGTAGAGGTTATGGTGGGAAGGGATAAAGGCAAGCAGGGCATTGTGTCGCAAGTCATACAGGAACGAAACTGGGTCATCGTAGAGGGGCTCAACACACATCTGAGAGTTGTGAGTATATTATAGATAGCTTTAAGGCCGAAACAGCTGTGACGCGTGGCATGGGGTGGTGTTGCGTTTCAAAAGTATGTTTCTGCCTTAAATCTTAAATAAATAGCAGTTGTAATATTTTGAGAAGATAGTGTTAATATTCTTTTATTTAGACACAACACAATAAAATAAACATATTAACTTCTCCTCATAGATGAATAACAAACGGGTTATGTAAATAAAGCTAGTCTGATTCCTCTTAAGCATACATACAAAATGAAGAGTTGAGTCAATTTATAACATTATTTTTTTATGGAATAATCATAATTTATTTCATAGATAACTTATATTAGAAATTATAGCTGTTAGCGGGACTGCTACCGTCACTGTGTGTCTGTGTATCCTGCTAATAACTATAATGATGTAATAATCATGACAGTTTAAAACAATTATATTAGAAAATTTAAAAACCAGCCCCATAGTTGAAGATAATATGAGGAGCTGGCGAACAAAATGGTATAATTAGGTACACATCTGGTCAAACTACTTTTTTTTTTACAGTCAGGTTTCGGACCCGTTTGAATCTCAAATAATTTTCAATCAAAACCACCTGAAACACTATTAAAATTACCATATTTATAAATTAAAAACCTTGCCAAAAGCTCACTGGAGGTATGTCATTCTGTTTTATACAGCTCGTGTAAATTTTGATTTTATGTAATTATACGGTTTTGTTCGCCAGCTCCTCATATATTACTCTTACGACATCTTTAAATTAAGACATGATGTAAAGGCTTTGAAACTAAAGAGGGGCAAAAATAATGATAAGTTAATTGTGAATAGAATTCTAAAGAATATTAGTGTCAAGTCTGATTTGTAGGCCCATTCGCTAACTGCTTTGACAGATGGAAGTGATAATAACCGAGCTATTTAGTGATCCACTACTGCTTTATCATAACACCACTAAGATACTTGTTCTGTAAAGCATCAATGGCTATGCAATTTCCTCTTTAGTTACCCACTGTTAATGACAAAAAAGTTAGTGAATATGCGGGCTGACTGCTATGTGTAAAAAAATCATATTTTTTTCAGATTGGGAGAGATAAAAACTTCCCCGGTGTGACAATCCAATCGGAGGCACCACTGTTAGTGACAAACCAGGTGAAGCTGGTAGATCCAGAGAGCTTGAAGCCTACCGAAATTGAATGGCGATACACGGAGGAAGGTGTAAAGGTATGAAAGTGTCTTGTTAGGAATTTATATTGTTTTAAATATGTAATGAAATGAAATGAAAAGTCATTTATTCAGTCTACGCCGTTGCACAAGCTGTTGTTTACAAGCACTTGTGAAGGTCAAGAAGCTGCGTCATCGGTTCGCAAAACTATGGCAGGAGACCTTGTACTGAGAAGAATCGGCAAAAAACTCAGCAAGGGTGTGTTTTTCTCCCTGTATTGTTATATACAGAGTCGTCAAGTTGAAAAATACTTCAGAGATACGTCTGAAGTCACCTTCCATTACATCATTCAGAATATAAATAAATAAATATTTCCAACACTCACACCAATTAGCCTAGCCCCAAAGTAAGCACTGTAAAGGCTTGTGTTATGGGATACTAGGGTAACGGATAGAATACATATATTGTACATATATAAGTATATTTATATGAAATACATATTAAACATCCATGACTGGAGTACAAATGCTCGTATTCATCACACAAACATCTGCTCCCACCGGGATTCGAACCCGGGACCTCTCGAGTCGGCGACGCCATGAAACCCGGCGTATAAACCACTCGGCCACGGAGGTCATCAAATATAAATATATAGTTACAAGAAATTTTATAGTTAACATTATATTTAGTATATAGGAAGTGGTATTACATAGATACAATATTACTGTTATGAATAATGACTAATACCCATCAAATAACAAATTACAAGAAAGGCTATGTCCATGCATTTCTATCATTTAGATAATCATCAACTTTATAATAGCCATTAATCATAAGAGTGTTCTTGATCTGAGATTTAAATTTGGTCAGTGGAAGCTCAATCAGATCTAGGAGAACTTTATTGAACAGTGCAATACTACAACCCAGAAACGAACCTTTTGATTTTTGGAGTCTGAAACATGGAACGACAAGCTTGTTCTTAAATCTCATATTAAAGTTGCAAATGCATCATAGTTTTTTCTTCCATATATTAAGTTTTCATAAATGTATTGTGATGCAAGTGTTAAAATATTGATTTCTTTAAATTTTTCTCTAAGGGATTCTCTTGCCTTTAAATTGTATATGGCGCGAACAGTTCTCTTTTGCAGTATGAAGATACTTTCAATATTGGCAGTTGAGTCCCACAACAAAATAAATAGGATTGCAGGACTCATAAACCTATTATTCATACAAATCTTGAGGACACATTCCCCTATTTGTCAAGATGAATTAATCAGGCTTTAAGATATATCTAGTTATAAAGGAAAATAATATGTGTTTGACTATTGAAATTTCGATAAAAGATTTATATTTTACGTTGTTGCCACAATCTTTGTTATTCCATTGTCCATATATACAATAAGGATTGTGACTTATATATAGCTAAATTAATTAAAGTTGTCTCAATGAATGTAATTAATTTCTCTGTTAAAATTACCTTCTTGTGTCCAGGTGCGGGTGTCCAAAGAGAGCAGTCGTATAATACCCATACCAAAGACCGCTGAAGAGACCATTGATTTCAAAAGCAAAGAGTTATACTTAGAAAATGAAGAAAAGGACACTAAAGCCGATGTTGTCACAAAGGTAACTATTTGTTAATAGAAGACAATCTCGACTTAAATCTATTTTTTAAGGGGGTGAGCGCGCCTTAAGAATTGAGACTTGGGCCTAGGAACCGTATTCTTATCGTCAACGTCAATTCCGTATTCGTCCACCCTCCTAACCGGACGTATGAACAAACTGGCTTTTTCCATAAACTTTGACATTTTGCAAAACAAGAGATTTGCCCGCACCCTTACCAGACTTAATAGGGACAAACTCCGTCCATAATTATAGGAACCTGGTCATTGTTCTAAACAAACACCTATATACAATAGGAGTAACAGACAGCACCCTATACAGAGGATGTACGGAGGTAGAAGAAACGCCACAGTGTGTCATCATGGAATGCAGGAGTGAGGCTGACCAACGGGTTTCTCCAGCAGGTCTGCATCGTCAGAATAGAATTCCGACAATGCAGGCTGCGAAACGTCAATAAATTAGGGACACGAAAAAAGTATCGATACTTTGTGATATCGAGTATTTATCCTTTCGATACCGATACTTTTGTACTCGATACTTTGTATTCGATACTTTTACTTAATGAGTACTTTTTGGCAAGTATCGATGACCTTTAAAAATTTGGATAAGGCCTCATATTGATGGCAACGCCATTTTGTTAAATCATAGCAACTCCTACTAACCTCTTCTATAATTATAATCTTGAGTGAAGCATGCCAATGGCCGCCGCAATGTAATGTACTCGATACTTTGAAGTATCGATACTTTTGTTTCAATACTTTAACGAGTACGATACTTTTTTTTCGATGCTACTTATGAGTACAATCGATACTTTCTATTCGATATCGTGTCCCTACAATAAATAAATAAAGTTTCGTGTATTAACCCGTTAAAACTAGTTTTATTTAATGAATGATGTACGTGAAAACCTGAGAATCAAATAAAACACTTTGACATGTCGATACGAATACTTTCTCGCTAGTTGTTCGTGCTAATAATAACATATTTGAGAACTCCTACTACAACAGAATATTTGAGAGCTCCTAGTACATAAGTTTTTTTGCCTGTGTAAGAACTCTCGCTCTTCCATAACTCTTCCAAAAAGATACTGACACAGGTAAATAAACTTGTCTAATAGGGGTTCTCAAATTTTATTTCACTAGGATAATATTATTTGTTATAGAAATAAAGTATTTTTGTTTTTTTTTTGACATCATCATCATCATGCTACCGCGGCCCTCACGGACCGCGTCGAAATTCTTTCTAGCTATTCTTAAGCTGCAGGGCAGCGCCATCTCTTCGCATTATAGGTTTGACATTGTGGGTTTACCTATAATGCGAAGAGATGGCGCTGCCCTGCAGCTTAAGAATAGCTAGAAAGAATTTCGACGCGGTCCGTGAGGGCCGCGGTAGCATAATTGGTCAGTGCATTCGCCCGGATTGCGAAGGGTGCGGGTTCGAGTCCCGTCTGCTGCCTGGTCCGCGTGGAATTTTTTCTAGTTATATTTTCTTTAGATTTAAACATCAAGCAGTTACATGCTTTAAAAATAATAAAAATTATAATCATCATCATCAGCCTATTAATGTCCCCACTGCTGGGGCACAGGCCCTTCCCTATGGATGGAATAGGGAGATTGGGCCATGACCCGCCACGCGGGCCCAGTGCGGATTGGTGGGTGCTAACGACTGCAGATGCAACCGGGACCAACGGCTTAACGTGCCTTCCGAAGCACGGAGGAGCTCGAGATAGTAAATTTTTGGTCACCCATCCAATGACCGACCACTGCGAAAGTTGCTTAACTTCAACGATCGCAGCCGAACGCTCTAACCAGTTGCGCCATCGAGCTCATCTTTTTTTTTTTTTGACATACAGGGAAATAAAGTTCTTTTGTTTTTTTTTGTCATAAAGAGAACGCGTTTGTACGGCGAAATCTGCACTATGATGCAGAGGGCCAAGCACGAACTTTGCGGCTCCATAATCGTATCGTCATCGTCAAATATTGCATGGGAAGAGCCAGTTTGTTCAAACGTCCGGTAGGGCGCTACTTGCTTTTGATAGAAACTTTGATGATGCCATAACATTACGGATAGGTTCGTAATGTTATGGCAACATCGAGCTTGAGCCTCCGATGGCGTAGTTAACGTAGTTAATTGAAGTCTGTGAGCTTAGACTTCTTGATTCCAAATCAGAACGCACTTAATACTCAATACTCAATGTTTTATTGCTTTCCATAAGTTATACAAGATGTTACAATAATAAATAATATGCACAATCATGGACCCCGTCGGGCACAGCAATCAATTAATTACAGGGGGAGAGTGACACCTTTGATTACATAAAAACGGTAATAAGTACCCTAGCTGACTATTACAATTTAGAATTTATATAATATCTATCTATAATAAATTAAAATAGGTATTAAATTTTATTTCATTCTATAAAATCACGAATAATAATAATAATAATGTGTATACTAATTCATTAATTGTAAAAAAGATAATACGAACAAATAATATAAAATACTGGCAAACCCAGCGAACTCCGTTACGCCACCAGATAGATAGCTTCGTTTTATGTAACATTTCGTTTTGTGATTAAAAGAAAACGATTTTTTTTTTAAATTTTTCCTGAATTTTCTTTGCTGTAAACCTCACGGAGCCCGAGACCTTTCCAACGAATGCAAAACCGTGGAAATCGGTTCGTGCGTTCTGGAGTTATAGCGTCAGGAAGGAAAACCCGACTTATTTTTATATAGTAGATATGCAAATCAAATTTATTTAAAGTTATATAAAAACAAAACACAATTATTTACACAATTGAGAATTCTTTGCGGTCCTCTTCAAATCTAACCCTTGCAGTCCCACTCCATTCAACTGATTTCTTTTCATATTTCCTTCTCTGTGCATTCTGATCGTTTGTGGAACTCACTACCTGAAACAATCCGAAAGGCTCGCACTCTAAGCTCGTTAAGTGATCAAGTTACAGGTTATTTCCTTTCCCAACTTTAAGTCTTACCTCTCTCTTGTCTCTCTCTTTGTATATATCTATTGCATCTATTATTCATTATTTATTTTACCATACCTGCTACACCCCCCCTTCTTGTTCCTCTTATTTATTTATTTCACTGTCATGGGTTGCCTGGAAGAGATTGCTGTTTAGCAATAAGGCCGCCTATTGTGTACGTTTTCACTGTCATGTTTAATGTCTTGTATGTCCTGTGAGGTGTATGTCAATAAAGAATATTATTATTATTAGACTATAAAGTTGTTTCCCTTTGTTTCAGGTAACGTTTGCACCAAAACTGCGAACATTCGAAATGGATATCATGGAAGATATGGGCATAAAGGAGGACAGAGTACCGGCGGAATCTTATTGGTACTAACTAATAAGCATACGTGATTCTGTTCAATAATAACATGCGTTCGATGTATTAAATTAAATAGTTTTATTTTAATTGGTATATTTTTAATTTCTTTTTCCACGGTTATATGACTGGTTGTCTGTGGAACGGTAAAAATTAAAGCTCTTCTTTTGACGCTATTTTATTTACGCGCGACACTATGCCTATTAGCTATGATGTTTAAAAGTTATAGATATGTCGTACACGCTTCCAAATTGGCAGTATAAAAGTCAGGTAATACGCCTCCGATTCCTCCCACACAGGCCACAAACACCAACACTACACAGCTAGCATACTTGCACACTAGCTTAGCATTAGGCATACACCGCACCCGTAGGATAAGGCGCTTTGCAGACGACGGGGCGGGGCGGGCCGGTCAATTTCGCCGCGAATAATAGCACAAAGTGAATCCTATACTTCAAACGCACACAGAGGGCAAAAAGACCGCGCCTTGGGTGCCCGGCGGGCAGTGGCGGCGCGGCATGTCCGCGGCTGCCCGCCGTGGATCATACAAACCAGTTTATATGCAGTAACGCAGGCGGCGGCGCGGGGCGGTCAGCTCACTCCGCGCCACGCGCTTATTAGTGATGGACTATTCACTAGAACGAACGTCCTGAACTGACCGCCTCTGCCCGTCGTGTGCTTTGTGTACGCGGCGCGGGCAGCCGCAGACATCGACGGGCAGACGCGGTCTTTATTGCTTCGCGGACAAAAAGCCCGCCCCGCCCCGTCGTCTGCTAAGCGCCTAAGAGTGCGAACACCCGGTCTACACACTACACGCTATACCAGGTACAGGTTTTTCCCCGCCCCCCACGACAACGCCTAACTAGAGCCGAGGTCCGAGTCTCAGAGACGCCCTCTAGTTGAGCCGACCCCCTCAGGTGCGAGTGGTCTAGAGGCTCCAGACGGAGAGGAGACTCCCACCGTGGGGAGATGCCATCCGCCTGGAATACCTCTAGAGACACTTGCCAATTCTCGACTTGAGGTCCCCTTAGGATCTCGCCGTCCCCAAACCCGGTGACGCTGTAAAGGTCATCTGCGACCAACAGCATACACACTCAAAAAAAATCTATAATATAATGTAATAAATAACATCGCAACCGAGGTCAAACCTTTTAATTTAAAGTTATTGGTTGTTTTTAATAACTCATACATAAGTGGCCAACTGCAATGTTTAGATTCTAGATAAGATAAAAAATACAAATTATTCATCGCGGGGGGCAAATCGGGCGTTATGATATTACGTGTTATATTATAATACATAATTATTAAGTTGCACATCAATAACATGTTTGATTTATTTTACAAGTGCCACTTGATCGGTATTGTTATTCGTTTCTCTATCTCGATTGTAGGTAATATAGATAGTAGGTACTTTCAGATACTTTCACTAACTAAAACTAGTTTTTACGGGTTAATGCACGAAACTTTATTTATTTATTGACGTTTCGTAGCCTTTACAGGCTACGTCGTCAGAATTAAACTTTTATTTAATTTGTCGAGCTACCTTCGAAAGACTTTTATTGAGCGTTCGGTTATTTCATTGTTCGATTTTTAAAGTTTTTCTTGTCTATGTATGTATGAATTTATTATTTAATTTACTTAATAAAGTATTTTATTTAAAATTCTTTCACTGCCAACACGCGAGTGCCTGCGACTCCATCTGCATCAGACAATATTGATGAATGTGTAAGTTTTGCGCTCGAATATTATAAAAGAAAAGCAGGCAGGGTACAAAACTGGCGTCGCAGAGCAATATCACCATGCTCGGGAAATTTGCTGTGACTTCAATTTGAAGAACTAAATCAAAAGCGTGATAAAACAGCTGCACGAAAACTCCAAGTCCTGTACCATTGGCATAAACCAATATTTAATTCGAATAGTTAAATTCGATGTCAAGAAGTTTTCTATGGAAATTACAGCGCCACAACGGACTTAATGAGAATCTAAATTCCACCAATGAAAGAGAATTAATATTTCTTCTTTCAAATGTTTTCAATACTTGTAAAAGTATTCGTTTGACATTGTTGGTTACCTACAATGCGAAGAGATGGCGCTGCCTTGCAGCCTAAAAATATAAGAATTCGATACGTCCGTTAGGGCCGCTGTAGCATAATGGTCAGTGCATCTCTCCGGATAGCGGAGATGCAGATTCCGGTAACGTCTGCTGTCTGGTCCGCGTGGAATTTTTCCACTATAGCATCCAGCAGTTAAATGCTTAAAAAACGTATCTTACTAATATTGACTAGTTTTTCTTCCTGATCCGACCTTACCCTTTTCTTTTAACTACCACCCTCGCTGGACTAAGACCATGGACACTGCCGGATTTAAGGGAGGGCAACCGGGGCGAAAGTCCACAAACGGGGGGCCCCCACAATAGAGACTTCGGAAAAAAAAATCTTTCAAATTCCAACTAGTAAACATCTTTTTCTTTGATATTTTTTTTTGCTCTTTTACCTTTACCTACAGCCTACAGTACTTTGTACATCTGACATACATGATTATTTGATTATATTAATCTCAGGGCCGAATTAAAGGCTGTGCCGTGCCGGCCACCGAGGGATCCCCTGACGGCAGCCCCCATCTTGTAGTTCTGTCCTGCAAAGAGGGGGGCGGCGGAGGGAGCTACACGGGCATGCCCAAGTAGTCCTCCGCAGCGGACGGGGGGCGGTACGGTGGGCACTAGGCCGCGTATTTTGCCCTCACGCGCGGGCCATCCTGCGCACGTCTGCGGGGTCCCCGCAATACCTCGGGAGACCCCTGCCGTGGAGCCCCGGCTAGGCCGGGAGGCTGCTGGGTGCGGAGACGCGGAAGAATCCCTAAACGGGGATCCCGCGGTTTCGCACTAAGCAGCTTAGAGGGTATTCGCAGGACTTTTTTAGCGGATATTATACCGTAAAGCGCCCATAAGAGTTGCGGGGTCCTCGGTGGGCAGCCACTGTGGGGTTCGTAAGACTTGCGGGAGCCAGGTGTGAGGTCCGTTCGGCGGTGTGCCTCTTAAAGGCGCCGTCGTCTGTAAATAGATTTTTTACCTGCGTATTAAAAAAAAAAAAAAAAAAAAAAAGGGCCGAATTAAAGGCAGGGCAGGTGGGGCTGTGGCTAAGGGGCCTCCACAACAGCTTAAGAAATAACAAAATTTCGATGGGTCAACAAGCATACAAATTCTAAGTGGCCCGGGGCCTCCACAATCCTAAATCCGGCCCTGACCATGGAGCACCCCTACTCCGACCAACGCTCGGTTAGAAGTCGCTGCACGAAACTCCAGCGATGATCGTTTTTGCGCAGAAATAAAAATTAAGATCTGTAGGGGGGAAACGAGGTGCGCGGGTGGGCGTGCGCTGCGCCGATTGGCTCTCCAGTCGTACCCATGAGCAGCTATCTCTGACGCGTTTTGTTCAGCACTTGAGTTAGACGATTTTGGGGCGTGCCTCACGCATAGCTAAAATTTTACTTAAACTCAAACTCATTTATTCAGTCTAGGCTGTTACAAGCTCTTGTGAAAGTTAAACGCTACGCCATCGGTTCGTAAATCTGAAGCTTGGCGCAAGCGCTTGCCCTTGTATGCGGACTCTAGTGGGGGTGCTCAATGCATGACTTAGGCCCATATTACAGAATGACAACTAAGTGTTGTTCTTTACTTGAGTACAGTTAGAAAGGGATATCGCTATGTGCTATATATAGCGACATCTCTTTCTATAACTATGCTCAAGACTAGATCAATCACTGAGAATCTTTCTATAACACGGGCCTAAGACTAGCAAGGTAAGGAAGGCTGGTGTGGCAAGTAAAACGGCTGCACCGTGCTCCAGCTACCTTCGCATCTGGACGGTGGGAAATCTTCGTTCGGACCTACTTATGTTTAAAAAAATCTAGCAGTTTAATGTTAAATCAAAATAAAAAGTGTCGACAATTTATTTCAATAATTATGATCAATACTTTTTTTATCGTTTTGGTAGCTTAGTCTAGGTAGCACATTCAGTGTTTTCAACTTGATTCCTAGGAAAAGGTTTTGCGAATACATATTTGTTTTTATTATTTAACTTGCTCGCCGATGTTAATTGTACCCATGTAAACAAAATCCTGATATCAGGATTTTATTAACAATGATTGCTGTTACTAACCAAATAATTTAATTACGAACTTACTCATACTATGAAGTTATTTTTAATCAGCGACCTTCATGAAAGTTAATTCAGAAAGTTTGGATGAACTGAAGTTATCTCATCAATATAATATAAAAAGATTATACATGTGGCGTAACTATGTAAGAACGTTAAACATAATCATCATGCACATCTTTTTGTCATGAGTGCATACAATTTTATCTCATTGATAAGATATGTAGGTAGTTTCCAGAATGTCAAAGTCAATGAACATGAACTCCATTTAAAACATACCTACTCACAAGCCTAGCTTTTACTGCTTATGTAAATATATTGAAAAATATAACATCAAACTATAATAAAAACTAGTTTTTACGGGTTAATGCACGAAACTTTATTTATTTATTGACGTTTCGCAGCCTTTTCAGGTCTGCATCGTCAGAATAATGATTTTTTATTTAAAATTGTCGAGCTACCTTCGAAAGACTATAAATAAATAAAGTTTCGTGCATTAACCCGTAAAAACTAGTTTTATTTAATGAGTGATGTGCGTGAAAACCTAAGAAACAAATCAAACTATAATGTTAATATCCTTACTAATTTAAATTGAATAATTGTTTGCTCTACCTATTCAATTACCTATATTTTATATATCATTATACTTAACCTTTTTTTTTTCTTTTTTTTACGGTGGGAAATGCATTACGCATACCCCGCTGGGTTATGTCGGTCTGTCCGTGGCTTCTGGGGGCAGACAGAATGCCCTCCAGAAGGTGCCGTTCCGCGGCCTACCGACTAAAACTCACCGATGCTCCTCCCATACGCCTTGGTGCGAGCACGCCCATCACCGCCGCATCCTCATCGTCGTCTGACGAAGAGGACACGTTGGGGAGGGACGCGTCGC